TATTATTATTATTATTATTATTATTATTATTATTATTATTATTATTATAATTATTATTATTATTATTATTATTATTATTATTATTATTATCATCGGCATCATTATAATTAATATTGCTATTATTACAATTATATATAATGTTCATCATTATAACTATTATATGTATTATGTATTTACTCGTATTATTTACTAACCATTAATGTAAACAATAATTTCATAAGTATAAATGTTTCGCTATAAATGCATCTACATATGTCGCCAACAATAAAAATTAAAATATTCACTAAAAAATGTATACTCCTGCTACAGAATAATTTGGAACGAGACATTTCAACAGTCTATTTTCCTCTCTGAAATAAATAGGTATTACTATCGATAAAGCCAATTCTTTGTGAAAATAAATATAAATCACAAATGCTACCGTTAAGACTTTTTTTGTTGTTAATACAAGATTCTATAAAGCAGTTATCAGGAAAGCGTTTCTTTAGAAGGATTTGTTCTATACATTTATTTTAAGGGATTTGAAATAATATATTTTTTTTATTTAATCATTCGTCTTATCATTTTGAATTGCTTCTTCACGATACTTGAATATTGAGATTAATAACATATCTTATGAAAACAATTCTTAGTTACTATTATGTTTGAGATATGAAATATAAAATCATGCTCCATGAATACATAATGTATCATGCATATACACATCGAAAAATTTCAAACATATCTACGTTTAAAAATATGGAGTAATTGTATTTGTTTTTATGGCATCTTCTATTATTTCTTCATCATTAATTAATACATTTTCTTCTGTTACACTGCATCCTGCTTTTATATTATATTTTTTTCTTTTACTGTTTTTCGTGTTTCAAATCACCTTCAAATCTTTTCAAATCAAATCTTTTAATAAACACAGGATGATAATGAAACTATCGTTAATTTCAGCCATGATAACTGCTCCGATAAACTAGCTCACATTGCTGTCGCGATCCTCTCGTCGTGATACGATCATTAGTAATAAAAAATATTAACTTAGCAATAATCTTTGAGAACCACTGAAATTCCCTTATCACAACTAGTCGATTATTGCTATACATTAACAAATGTAACCGCTAATGTAACCTTCATGATAAAATTGGTTACCATGAGAAATGTTTATTTTTTTTGAAGGTAATAATGGTACTAATCACATGGTTGAAGATAAAAAATATTATCATATACATAAATTTATTTTTAGTGGAAATAAAATCAAATTATATCAAACACCTCGATATGTTTAGACAAAAACCAGACTATTTCATTTCACCTCGACGTTCCAAGTTACCTTGATTGACAGTATATAATTTATGTTAACTCCTCCGGAGGCGAGATAACGTCTAAAATCAAGTCCGCCGGACCAGAAATCAATTTCGGGTTCAAACCCGGACGATCGCTCGACCACTAAGGCTGACCGCACACTGGTAAAGCAAAATTGACTGAAGGAATTTAAGTCATATTTAGTCATAATAAAGCATTATGATCGCACACTAGATAAAATATAGTCAAATCAAAGCAAAACCAGTCGTCATAACCTGATGAGGAGGACGTTACTATTCCTATTTTATGGTTCCTTTTAAAAGAAATTGAACAGGAAGAAAATAAATGTTGTTTTTGTAATCATAAAAAGACTGATGCTCTTGGAATAACGATATAAAATTATCGAGGTTAATTTCATTCTCAAAAAAACATTTTATAAGCTTATTGAATAAAATAAATAATAATATTATACACATAATACGGTACCTTCTACTTATTTTCTTGATTTTTAAAACTTTTCAGATGATGCGTATAGTATATAGTTTATGTCAAAATTATGTACATGCATAAATATAATATAATTATCTTTATATTGTAGACGATTTAGCATAAATAAATAATTGTTGGCATCATTTTGATATAACCATCCAGTGACTGCTTGATTATGACTAATCAAAATAGCGCACGTTCTATTTCAATAAAGCAATATTAGTCATGTCTAAAACCGGGTTCACACGTGTCAGTCAAAACATTCATTATGACTGATTCACGAAAACTGAACAAGTTATGAACATGTAAACACTTGTTTCATTATGACTGAATCATAATAATTAGGCTTCAATCAAGTAGAAACTATTTCTACTTTTGTTCATTTTTAATTATCAGTATTGCATCATGAAAGACGACTGAAACGTGTGACCATATATTCATTTTATATTTTCATTATTACTATCAATCGTTTTATTATCAATAATTTAATTTATTTGCTACAGCTAGATACATGTTTTTTTAAATATATTTATTTTAATATTTATAATTTTTTAAAATAGTGTTTAAGTGGCGTGACGAATATATTGACCAATTTTTGAACGAATATAAACAAAAAGAGTGTTTATGGAGATTCCATGTATTTTAAGCGATGTAATTTTGGCGCGGAAATTTGGTCGCGGCAAAATAGTCGCAGTATAAAATCGTCGTGCATCATTTGGTCGTCTCTGGTAAATTGCGGCAAAATCGGTATATTTTCTAAAATTTGATACGATCGATATCATATTGTTAAGTATATACAGTGTATGCTAGTAGGTATATAAAACAAATTACTAAGAAATTGGTAATTTTGCCGCAGTTTACATACAGCCATACAGATATCAATATAATACAATTATACGGGTAAGAACTTGTATAGTGACTGTAGGAACAGCAGTACAGATATCAAATTAGTACAGTATTATATTGGACTGGTAAATAACTTGTTTAGTTAAAATAATAAAAATAATTAAAATTTTATCTTGTTAAGTTGTACAATGATGTAAACGTTTGATACGATTTGTACATACGTGTTAACCATATGCTAACGGCCGCGTGCGGAGTGTTTTGTTAAAATTTAATAATGTCACTAAATTATACTTTAAGCCGAAAAAATAAAAAATTATTAATTCACAGTAATTATGTGCACCAAAAAGTAAAAGATGACGACGAAAAAATTGTTTAGAAATGTAATAATTATAAACAATTTACTTGTCGCGGTCGCGTTCACACAAGAAATGATACGATTATTAAATATGTTGAGCATAATCATATGCCCGATGTATCTAAATTAAAATGTAGAGAATATATGAATGATTTGAAGGAAGTGGTGAAAACATCTCAACTGAGTACTCATGGTGTTATTGGAACAATAATATCAAAATGAAATAGATAATAATTATAAAATTCAACTAAAACTAACATACCTCTACTATATTAATATTTATTTTTAATTAGGTTGATGCTGCAGTTGCAAGTAATTTACCACCAATAAATCAACTTAAAAGAACAGTACAACGAACAAGACAAGTTGAAAGTTCTGCTCCCCCAAATCCTATGAAGTTAGAAGAGCTCACAATTCCAGATGAGTATAAAATAACTACGAATGGTGAACCATTTTTATTATATGAAAGTTTTTCTAAAAATATTGAAGAAAAGCGAATATTAATATTTTCAACGGAAAAAAATGTAAATTTATTATTAGAAAGTAAACACTGGTTTGTTGACGGCACTTTTTCGTATTGCCCTAGTCTTTTCGTCCAATTATATACAATTCACAGTATAATAGCATGTAATATTGTTCCATTGGTTTATATTCTTTTACCAAATAAAAAGGAAATTACTTATTGTCGTATGTTTTTGGCTCTAAATATTTTAAAACCAAATTAAAATCCTGTAATGATTATGGCTGATTTTGAAAAAAATAATATGAACGTAACATTATTTGTATACCCAAATTCTAAAATTCAAGGTTGTTTTTTCATCTTGGACAATCAATATGGTGCCAAATTCAAAGTATAGGTTTAAGTAATAGATACTCTACTGATCCAGAATTTTCTCTGAATATTCGAAAAATACCGACATTAGCATATTTACCCGAAAATCTTATTGAAGATAATTTTGAACGCCTTCTGGAAACAGAATTTTATAAAAATAATTAAGAATTACTGACAGATTTTATTAATTATTTTGAGGATACCTATATAGACCGTGTTAATAAAAGAGGACGATAAACACCCCCACGATTTCCTATTGGACTATGGAATTGTTATTCTTTAATCGAAAGAGATATTTCATGTACTAATTATGCAGTTGGAGGCTGACACAACTGTTTCAATGCACTACTAAAATCAGCTCACCCATCCATCTGGATTTTTATTAATGCGTTAAAAATAAAAATAATATAAACCAATTTAAAGTTGAACAATTTCTTTCTGGTACATCGTTACCCAAAAAGAAAAAATACAAAGATTCTACGATTCGAATTAAAAAAATTGTTTCGGCTTTTGATCCAAATTCAACCAATTTTCAAGATTAATAGCTGTACATTTTCAATTACAAATATAGATTTTTATTTTATTATTATAACAATTTTTAATTTTTTAAATATAATATGAATGGATATTTTAATAAATTATACTTGTCTTCGAGTTTATTTAAGTATAATAATATATTATGAGAATTTTCAGTGGATTTATTTATAATTTAATTTATAATAATTATAATAGTTTAAGAATAATTAAATAAAACTACAATAATTTATTTATTGTCCATCGTTACGCGACCAAATGACGCGCGTTGATATTACCTAAGCGATCAATTTACTGCGCCCAAATTTCCGCGACCATTTTAACACGCTAAAATTACCGCGATTAACTTACGTGACACCATTTATGGAATACAAGCAATGACAATTACAAAAACCGAGACACAAGATAAAGCATACGAAAGTATATGTGTTCTGCTTTGAATTTACCTGGTCTGTCTGTGAACGACATCAAAACTAAAATAAAAACAATTGGTCTTTACTCATTCTTTAATGATTTTTGTATAAAAATTCATCTTCAGTTGCAAATTCTCGTAATAAATGTTCACTAGCACCCAAAGTATTGCGCATTAGAATCAATTTTTTAACCCATCATCTACAGGTTTTCTTATTTTTTAATTTTTTTAATATATTTTGTAGTTCTTGTGATATTTGCGAGCAAAATAACCTAATACTAGTTCGCATCACAGCTTTTTTTGAACTAACCATTGAAAAATATTTGTATTATATTAGTACAAGTAGTCACAAAAAAAATGTACGTAGTTATACTATAACGTGGTAGGTATCACTATAACAGTTATATGATCGCTGAACATTGAACAATGACTTTCATTAAGAATGAATAGGTTTTTCGTTAAATCGTGTGAACGATTTATTCAGTAAATAAGATTTCAGTAATAATGAATCAGTCATAATGATCATTCTCACTGACACGTATGAACCCAGCTTAAAGTCAAAAATGTTTTATTTTGAGTGCGCTTTATTAGTGTGTGTGTTTTCCATAAAATATAAATATTGTATTTTTCATAAATCACAATAAAGCACTATTAGACAAGCAGTTTTGCTTTACCAGTGTGTGTGGTCACCCTAAGCTACCCGACCGTATTAACCTAAGACGTTATCACCCCCCCCCCAATTAAAGGGAGTTTACATTCGACCATCCTAGCGTCCACGATCGTCATCGATCCTTACTGTCGCCCATTGCGACTATTGCTTCACCACTTGATCACCAGAGTGCACGATCCGTAAGCACAACGCGATTATCTCTGCACGACCTCTGGTCGACCAAATTCAGGTCCCTCACGTCACACTAGGTTCTTCAGATCGTTATCCCACTTCTGATTTATGTTAAATATTCCGGCGGCTTGATTTTTGACGTTATCTCGTCCCCGGAGAAGTTAACACTACTCTATAATAATACATAATATCAACATAATTAAAAATAATATTTTAGTATCTATAGGTACTATTTTTATTTGATACCAAAGTGAATACCTAATAACTATTTTTGAAATTTATAAAACTAAAAAATGTGTTGTAAACAATAAGAAAAAAATGATATAAGGAAGTAAATTATAACATGAAAATATTCGAGCGAAGCGAGGTAATTAATTAGTCTTCACCCTCCCATAGTTATTTTTTCGGGATGGCCCTGATGAAGATGTGTTTTTTCTCACCAAGTAGGTACTGTTGAATGGTAAAAACGCTGCAATATACCCATCTACAACCAGTGTTCCCAAACAATGTAAGGAAAATAAATTTACACTATACATAGAGTACAAAAATGAATTTAATTTTAAATTTTGTGAATACATTTTATTTTTAAGTATCAAAATAGAGTATTTATTAATATGTAACTATATTTAAGCACTTAAGTAACTACAATTGTGGCTTAGTAAATTCTCAAAAAAATTGATAACATCACTATAATGGTATTAACTGGTTCTAGAACCTTAAAAAAAATTAACTTAATCACCGGAACCGAAAAATCCAATAGATTCCAATCCTTGCATTATTAATCATAACATATCTATTTGTATCAAAATATATAACTAACGGCATTTTACTCTAGTAAACATATTTTTAAACAATTTATAAATATAGAGCAATAATACTGTAAAATGGAAATGTACTTACTGCTTTGGAAAATTAAAGTATAAACTAATATTGCTAAGTAATAACACAAAATTAACTTTAATTTGTATAATAAGCAAATGATACTTTTTAATTATTATTTCATTGCATTTCTCATAAAAAAAACTATAAAGATTATAAAGAATTTATCTTATATTAAATCAAATAAACTAACAAATAATAAAGGTAGGTATAATACAATTAAAAATAAAAAAACTATTTTTCTCCAAATTATTAAATTGGTTTTTACAGCACTAATTGCCTAGTAGGGCAGTATATATGTATGCAAATACTATACAGAATCAACATTTTAAATATGCTACTCACAAATTCACTACAAATCTACAAATGGTACTTACATAATACAAACTAGTAAGAATAAACATAAACTTAAAACAATTTTAATGTGAACTATACTAATATATTAATTTAATACTTTAAATATTATTCTGTATTGTATGTAGGTAAATCAATTAATTGATCAATACAATTTTAAAAACAAATTGTTGTTTTCTTAAATAAGTAATATATGTCTATTATAAGAAATATCACTATAATAATAATGTATTATTTAATGTAAAAACATTTTTGTAAAATATAATTTATATTATTTTCTTCATTAAAGAAATTATTTTGTAAGTTATATTTTTTTATTGTTTAGATTAAAAAAAAAAAAAAATGACGAAGCTATTATTTTAAAATCAATTAAGGTAATAATGGGTTTTGAACACATTAGATGATTACAAGATCAACAATGCAATTTTTGTTTAAGATTTTTTACTAAAAAATGATTTGCTTCCAAATAATGTAAGATTTTAGTTAGCTGTTGGTGTGTGCGTAGGGGACGTAGAAACAGGGTCGTCCCGAAGATGAAAATCAAGAGGGGGTGAATAATATAAAAAATGCAGACTTCAATTTTTTACTCAATGTATATAGTACTATAATTAACTATATGTAGTCTTATTTTTACTTTTTAAATTGTATATATGTGTCAGTGTCGCACGTTCTTAAAATTGACAATTTAATTAAATATATTTGTATATGTATGTATAATTATTATATATATAACTGACAACAAACTACAATCACAATTGTTTATCTTAAAGTGTTTTCATACAAATCGATGTTTCGCACTTTTTTTTTAGTTGGCAACTCGAGCGTAAAAATCGCGCAAGCCCAAAAACAGTGTGACGTCTCGATTTGTATGAGAATTTAGCAAAAAATACAACTTAAGTGTTTATTTTTACATTTAAGGTAATGTTCTAAAAATAAATTGAATAAACCAAGATTTTGAAGATTTCAAAAAAACTTAAAAAAATCTACTTTGGGCCATCCCAGCGAGTACATGTACACAAGTGTTCTCATCCATTCTAGAAACACCCTGTATATAATAATATTGTATATTGTATAATAAGTAGTTCTATAAATTTTATCCATGTATAAACTGTATTACGAAATATGTAATATTTGTTTACCATAAGTAAAATTAGGTCCTTCTAGGCTATAATGAAACAAGTCCGACTGCAGACCGGTGTTTTTGTTGGTTGGGAGTGAGACACCCCCCAAGATTCCCCTTAAGGACGCCCCTGCGTAGAAAATTGAGACAAGTGGAAATTTAGGACAAAAGTAGCTGATCCCATATAGTTGGGAGAAAGGTAAAGGAGAAGTAATTTATTATTAATTTTCTATATAGCATAGAGTAATACTTTCTAAATTAAAAGTATACCATTCAATTTAATATTATTAAAATATACCTAACTGCTAAACTACAAATAAAACATTATTACAAATTTTGCCTAGACACTGGTTTTTGGATTGAAATACAGGAGTTAGGTATGTATAAGCTATTAAAAAATCAATGGTTAAGATCTAAGTTTTTAAGATAAAGTGACATAGTGTTTTTAACTAATTTTAAAATGAAAATATTTCCATAAAACAATTTTTTATTACTAAATTTGTATTTTAGCTATCTTCATTAATTAACTTCCTCACTTGCATTAAAAATCTTTTATAAGAACTTAATTTACCATAGAGCACATATTAGATATTTTAGTAATTTAATTTTAAAGTTATGTGACTGGTTAATCTTTATAATTAGAGTTCATTATATTATTTTCCTATTCATTAACTTTGTATCACTAGTCATATTCAAATTTAAGGTGTAGGTATATTATTATATCTAATGTATATTTTACTGCTGTCAAATATTATATTATTTAAATATATTTACACATAATTGTTGAGCTGAATAGTTAATATTAAGGCTAATAAAATAAAACAATACTTAACCTAGGTATATTAATGTTTTATTTATATTAAATACAAGGAGGATCATCACCATTTATTTCTATATCCATTGCTTCTTCTTCATCTGTTGTGTTTAGATCTTCATCTTCAGATTCATTAAATGTTAATAAAGACTCTTCAAATGTTTTTTTATCTTCATCATCTGAATCGTTAAACACTAATAGGGCATCTTGTTCTTTTTCTTTATCTTGTTTATCAAAGTTTAACCTGTCTACTAATGCTTTAAGTTTAAACTCTAACAAACCAAGTTTTTCAAAATTATTTAACCTTATATTCAAGACATTTTCTAGGGGTAAAAATGTTTCTAGAACATCTGGATTAGCTAATAGCAAAGATGCATGTATTCTCAACAGAGCAGATAACCATCTTATACTTACAGAACTCACTAAAGTTCGGTCCTGTGATAGGCGTATAAGCTTACGAATAAGCATAACAATAGACTGTAATGGTAGATGTGATACAGTATTATCAATAGTTCGGTCATCTTTAACAAATAAGGCAGACTCTAAAAGATGTTTATCGTTGCTACGAAGACCTTGAATTAACAAATGTACAATACTTTCACCCTTGGTCTGAACTGTATTTTCAATTTCTTCAGACATATTTTGAAGTCTTGTTTCAAGTGGTAGATTTGATGATCTATTATTTTTCATTTCAATACATTTAGCATCTACAATATTTGGATTAACAATATGGCTTCCCACAAATGATTTTAATTTTCTTGGGTCTTGTCTTGCTATAAATGTACATTTATTTAACTTTTTTAAGTTAATATTTTCAAATGCTAAGAATGGCCGGGTGCCATAAACTATATATACTCTAGAATCATAAACTTTAGTACATAAAATTGGCATTTGTACAGTTTCTACATCTTTTGTATTATCCACAGCTATTTGAAGTGTTCCGTGAGGTTTAAGTGGATGTGAAATACAACCATTTAGTACATGTTCATACACATGCAATGTACCACTTTCAGTTGTAATTGTCACTGTAATATTGTTGCGTTGGTTATGAACATATACAAAAGAAATATTATCGTCTGCAACTAATGAAGCTAATGGATCTGGTTTTAAGTCGCTTAGAGACCATATATTTATAAACCGGTCTCTGGCAGAACTTAACAGATAACATTTATCACCTTCAATGATGTGTAGTGAGCGAATTTCATTTTTATGACCAGTAAACTTATGAATCATCTCACCAGATGGAAAGTTCCACAATTTTATTTCCCTTAATGCTGTCAGCAACCTTCCATCAGGCAGCATAGCTAATGCACACATTTTACTTATTTTCTTTTTTACTTCTAGCTTGTTGTTCTTCAAATCAAACTGAGCAACATGACCATCATCTGAACCAATATATAAGTGTTGACCCAAACGATAAATACTCTTGATAGATTTTGAATGAGTATTGATTTTAGACTGGATACTTCCACTAGCAACATTATAAAATTCAACATAACCTTTCTGAGTACCAATGCACAATAAATCAGTATTGTCTACTTGGATCCATTTGACACAAGTGACAGAAGAATTCAAATGTCCACTTGGAGAATATGTGTGCCGCAAATCACCAGCATTAGTATCCCAAACGTTGATCTTTCCATTACCACTGATTTCAGTATAATATCTTCCAGATTCCGAAAAACCACCGACAGTTTCCCTCATGACGACACGGTTATTAATATTAAGTTTAAAATAAAAATTTCACAAATAACATACTTGACGAAAATTATTTGAAAATGTTTTTAAAAGGGTTTGTTACATAACCTAAAAAGCTTATTTTCATGGATAAAAGAATACACGATTCACAAATTTCATGAGGTTTTTGATATCATAATTTATTAAATTCTTATTTTTCTAATTAATTAAATATTTATTTTATTAACTATATCTAATTAAATGTTTCTATATCTTAACTTTTAACTCAAAGTTTTACAATTTTAGGAATTATAAATGTTATATTATAAAAAAAATATTTACACAAATATTGTACTTGCTAGTAGTACCTTCACGTATGTAATTTAGTTATTCAGTGTTAATTTACCGATTTACTTAGATAATAATAAATATGCCCTGTTATCAGGGCCACATTTAAGGGGGGGCACTGGCAACAACTGCCCCGGACGCCAGTTTTTTGGGGACACCAAAATTTAGTGGTCGGAAATTTGCTCACGTGTGAAGTATTAAACTTTTAAAATTATTTTGAATTATTTTTTTTTTTTTTGTTTTTAATAACAGTATCATAAATTAATGTTAATGCATTTAATTTATTAATGTATTTATAGTAATATATCTATATATACCTAATATTAGTTCCCAAATTTATTGTGATAATGTCAATAAACGTAAGTTATAATAATACGAAATATTATGTTATCGCGTGCGGCGTGCGGTGTCGTGCCTACTACACAAAAATAGCATTGATTATAAAATATCTATAAGGTTCATGAAGATAACTCTATCTCCTATATTTTCCGTGGGTTGACCCCCTTTTTTTGCGCCGAGGCGCAAAATATCTAAATACGGCACTGCCTGTTATTCATTACTGGCTGATGTGATTCATTTCATTATATATACCTAAGATGGGCAACTCAAAGTAACTAGAGGGCCAATTTTTAGAACTTTAAAATCTTACGGGTCATAGTAAAGAAAGCAAAAATGAAAAAATTCATTAAAATTGACAATTTGCATTTATTATAATTAATTACATTTTACGACTGAACCAGTACAATAAAATAAGTGTCTAATACCTACAGCAAAGTTAGCTATGTCAATATGAATATAAATTATACTTAGACATTTAATAATTTAGCTGCAGTCTGATGGTAGAGAAAAATATAACATCTACCTAATCTAACCTAACCCTGCGTATGCCACTGATTATTATTAATATTATGTCATGGACTACCTATGTTAATCATAGATGTTAATTGGAGGAGATGAGAAGGGACAACTGCCCACCTCTAAAAATTTAATGAGACAATACTCCCTTAGTATTTAATAAATAAGTTGGCAATATATTATTGAAAAGGCATTTTAGGTTTGTAAGAATTATTTTATCAAGAAAAATATAATTTTTTGATTTATTAACTATAAAAAAAAAAATGAATAAATAAATTAAAATATATTTGTTCTTTAGTATTTATCATCAGTATACATCATAATGCAGATAAAATATATCTAGTCTTTAAGTATACGGTATATTAACATAAAATAAAGTTTGCCCACCATAAGAATTGCCCTAGTTAAGAGGATGTTACACCCGCATGTGTTGTCTCCGTCTGACATACGTACAACATAGTAAATTTGCGTTCAGTGATTCAAATGTAGTGAAGTTAGCTTTAATCATTGATTTTATAATATTATGTTAATATAATGTATTATAAAATCAATATTTTAATATTAGAGTAAACTGACCTATAATCAAACTTTAAGGGAAGAACATTATGTGTGTTTTGTTGATCGATTTTTAAACAAGTTATGGTGTTTTTTTAATTGTTATATTTTACATACTCATAACACGCTTAAAAATAAAAATATCGAAAAAAATCGACCAACAAAACACAGATAATGTTCTTCCCTTAAAATTTAATTATAGGTCAGTTTACTCTAATATTAAAGCCAACTTCACTACATTTGAATCACTGAACGCAAATTTGCTATGTTGTACGTATGTCAGACGGAGACAACACATGCGGGTGTGACGTCTTCTTAAGGTTATTGTTGATAATGTTTTAAAGATTTTCTATTTTTTATTTTTAATGAAGTTCATACTGAAGTTAGCAACAATTTTTATTATTACCAAAACGAGTCAAAAATAGGTACATTTATTTTGGTTAATCCAATAAAAATTAGCCTTTTAATAAAAAATTGTCAAATAATGTAGATCAGTTGAATAAGAATTAATAGAAATAAAATTAGACAAATAATAAAATGTAATGAATAAAAATTAGTCGAACGACTAATTATACCACATAGTGTAACTAAATTAGTCACACAACACTACAGACTAAATCGCTAGGAATAAGTCACTTTTATCCATCACCAATTACGTAGTTACGAGTGAGGGGGTAAGGGGTTTCTACCACCCCAGATTTTTTTTTTAATGATGTTTAATTATTATTTATTAATATTTACATACACATATTACAGTAAAAATTATATTTTCATTTTACTATGATTAGATATATATTAAAAATTGAGTAGCAACAGTGGCGGATAGGTATATATTTTTTTTACCGGGAAGGAATTGGAAGGGCCTAAAGAGCCTAGGCCCCATAAAAAATAAGCCGCTCGCAACATATTATATTACAATATAATAATTTACAAATTGCTCATAGTACTTGTAATTACTAGTTAATTAGTTATTAGTTAATTAGTATTAGTTATTTAAAGTTTTTAATGTTGAAAATCATATTGAATAGGTATATATAACTGTATACTAATTTAAATTAATACAGTAGTAACTTTTTTAATGCTTCACTATTTAAAGCAACTTTATCGATTATGGTAGCAGGGAAAATAGAAGTTAAAATTTCTTTTTCTACATTCATGAGGATGAAACTTTCTAAATGGTCTTGAGTGATAGAGTTTCTCAAATAATTTTTAACATATTTTAATTTTGAAAAACTACGCTCACAACCTACTTGTGTTACTGAAAATGTTAAAAGCAGTTTGTAAGATAAATACAGAGCCGGATAAGCATTAGTGTACAAATTATAGTTCATTAAAATACTAAAACAACAAACAACACAACACTTGACAGGTCTAATAGTATTATCTGCTTGGTGAGTAAAAAATTCTTCTGGCTCATTTTCTACAATTAAAACAAAAAGAAAAATTAATATTAAGTTAAATTGAAAACATGCTCTTATAGATGTCAGTATACGCAATGCCGCGGCACGTGCGGTGAAGGTGATGCGGCGACTTTGTAATTCAAGCTTATAAAAATAGATTGGTTTGTCCACTGTATATGATAGGCGCGGGACGAACGAACAAAATATGTATTTTTTCGTATCAAGCTATCAGCTAGCATCCGCAGTTTTTCAAATAAAATCGTTTTGTTATTTATTTTATTTTTATAACTTCAACCTTCATCTTACTTACTTATTATAATATCTTTTAAATATTTGTAAATAAGTACGTACATTCTTAAATTATAATAAAAATAAATAAATCTTGATAGTGATTAAAATTTACAAATATATCTTCAATTTAGTACAGAACTCGGTGAAAGGGCTAAGGGCCCCCATATATAAAAATGGGGTGGGGCCTACCGGGAAAATCCCGAATTCCCGGTGGGCCTATCCGCCACTGAGTAGCAAAAATAATTTTCATTAAATACGGGACATAATAATAATACCATTTTAAATGTAATATTTTTACATAGGACCTTGTATTAAGATATACTAAGAATATTATGAATTAACTCTTAAACCCCCCCCCCTAAAAAAAAAATATTGTATCTACGCCACTGCCCATCATTATTGTACATAGATTATAGAGTAATATTACTTTATGATACAGATACTAAATAATATTAATATGATAAAAATATCAATATCATAGATTTATAAAGATACGAACATGGTTTAAAACACTTTTAGATCTTCTAAGACCATGGTTTAAAATATATAAACTATGATAAAGAAAGAACCATGAATCACCGATGATGATATAAACGAACACAACTTTGATCTAATCGAATTTTTTAAAATTATATTTTTATTAATAATATTAAAGCAAATGATGTCATTTGTTTGCTCAATTGCTTAAATATTCCTTTGTGTTCGATTCCATAAGATGATTAATTTTTTTATAATTTATTTTACTTCTAAATTAATTCTTATCGTTTTAGACGTTTGAATAATCTATGTAGTAAACCTATGCTTGTGGTAAAATAACTGTTATAATTTTTATATTATACTCGAGTACTGTATATTTACTGTAAATTTTAATCATACAACTAATAATAATTAAAATTAAAATCCTCATTTAGTAATTTCATTACCTTAATATGGCTGACTTATCCTATGCATTACCTTTGTTGTTACTATTAACTGTTACCTTAACTCACTTCTGTTTACACAGAGTGGATGAAGGACATGTGGCTGTTTATTACAGGGTAAATATATCACTCGTTGTTTTGTGAATTTGTTAAATTATATATGATATTCATATTTTATTAGGGTGGCGCGTTATTATCTCAGATTAGTTATCCTGGTTACCACATTATGATGCCTTTCCTAACCACTTTTCGGTCTGTTCAAGTGAGCACTTATTATTATATTAATTTAAATATTTTTAATTAAATAATTGTTTGATCTCTATATACATTTAATTTATTTTATTTTTCAGGTTACACTTCAAACGGATGAAGTGAAAAATGTTCCTTGTGGCACAAGTGGTGGTGTAATGATTTATTTTGATAGAATTGAAGTAGTCAATATACTAAATGCTGATAGTGGTATCCAAATATCTATATTACATTTATTTTTGATAATTATTAGTTATAGTTAAATATTGATTATTATTAGAGCTTGGATGTTTAAGACCAAAATTTCATTAAAATATGCTAATAATTGCAAAAAATATACGTAAAAAAAGGTGTTAATATTTATTCAAAATAAATTTTAAACACTATTAAAAATGAACTAATATTATATCTATTTTAAACAAGTACACAATTTAATTTTAACAATTGCACAATTACTAAAAAAGGGAATAATAGTAATTCAAATGTATTTTTTTTTTTTTTTTTTTTAAATGATATTAAAATAACTTCATTGCAAAATACATAATTGAAATAAAATACTATAAATATAAATGAAAAAAATAGAATACATATTTCATAGGTTAAATATCAAGATTACAATGTGTCATAATGATTTTAAATATATTTTTAAATTTGAAAGATCTTCGACAATCTGACAGTATAGTTTTGTAACGGACCTTTGCAATACCTGTAGTGAGAATTAGGTCTTATACTTACCAATATCTATAACTATTAGTCTATTATCGATGGATGATAAGATAAAAATTATCGATGAGTAATTCTGACATTCATGTATACATTGTGATATAAATACATGAGTTTTCATTTTCTACCATTTCATTAATTTCATTTTCATTCATTAAATCCGTATAAATTGTGCTTATATTATATTTAAAATATTAGTAATATGCCACTAAATCTAGTAATTATCAATGTATGCATTTATATGCTCAAAAATGTCAAATATGCAAAAATATACAAAAAAAAAAATTGTCTATTTGTAATGTAGACTTCATGAATCAAATTTATATCTCACTCCAGTGTAATTCTTGCTGCGAGAAAAAAATATGCGAAGTCATAAACATTCGAGCTTTAATTATTATTTATCATAATTTGTATCAAGAAATTCAATAAATTAAATTCTCATTTTATTTAGATATAACGTTTAAATATATTTTAAAATCATTACTTTCATTATAAAATAAAATGTTATAGTTCAACAATTGAATTTTGTTTTATAGTTCAATGAGTTAAAATGTCATGATACACTTTTTAATTTTTTTTTTTTTTGGATTTAGATATCCTATCATTTTTATGAGTTAAAAATTTATATTCAATTCACTTATTTACATATTAAAAATGTAATACAATGTTACATTGTACGTTTAAATTTAAATTAGAATTTAAGTATTATCAAATTAGATATGTATTTTACCTAAAACACACAATCCTTATTCATATTTAAACCAATTTAATGATTTTAGAGTTATATAGTAAACCCAATTGTGATTATTTATTTTTTTTTTAGTTTTTGATATTGTAAAGAATTACACAGCAGATTATGATAAAACATTAATATTTAATAAAGTACATCATGAACTTAATCAATTTTGCAGTGTCCATAATTTACACGAGGTATAAATTGCTTTTTATTGTTTATTTAACTTGTTGTGAATCCAGAATCCAGATATAATATTAATACAATACATTTTATAGGTGTACATTGATTTATTTGATCAAATTGATGAAAATCTCAAAGTAGCACTGCAAAAAGATTTAACTGAAATGGCTCCTGGACTCAAAGTACATGCTGTACGTGTCACTAAGCCTAAAATACCTGAAACAATACGTAAAAATTATGAAATAATGTAATAAAATTAATATTTTATAATGTTTTAATTATTATATTAATTTATATTATTTTGCACTTTATTTTAGGGAAGCAGAAAAAACTAAATTGCTAATTGCTGAACAAACACAAAAAGTTGTTGAAAAAGAAGCTGAGACTGAACGTAAACGTGCTATAATAGAAGCTGAGAAACTAGCTCAAGTGTCTAGAATTGAATTTGAACAAAAAATTATGGAAAAAGAATCTATTAAACAAATTTCTGTTATAGAAGGTATCTAAGCCTCTAAAATACTTATTGTACTTAATAAATTAATTTTTTTTATGTTAATTTAGATACAATTCATCTAGAAAAAGAAAAGAGTGCTGCAGATGCTGAATTTTATCGTATTAAAATGCAAGCAGACTCTAATAAGTTATTGCTGACTAAAGAGTTCTTAGAATTGAAACGCATAGAATCTCTAGGAAATAATACAAAACTTTACTATGGACCAGATCTTCCAAAAATTTTCATGCAACAATATGTGCCATTAAAATAATATTATTATTGCATTTTCAATTAAATTTTAATTACATTTTAATATGAAAATTGAAAAAATTGGTTATACATAATAAGTTTAAGAGAATTACATAAATACTAGTCAATTTCACTAAACTAAATATTTATAAATCATAGAAATAAAATAAGATAATTTATTTTTGTAATTCACACTAATTTATATTTGTATATTAGTTTTTTGTAATTATTTCTTACTATGACCTTTTGTGAATAGTACATATGAATTAGTAATATATATTTATTAGATAGATTTGATAAATAAAAATCATAATAACAAATGAATAAACAGCAATTATTCTTGCTTAAAGATAAAACCATCAATATTGTGTATTTTTTTATTATATTTATCAATATCACAATTTAAACTGTTAAATAAATGATTTATTTTAATTTGACTTATATTACTTCTTTAATATTTACCATTACAAATAATCATTTCATATATTGAAAATTTTGATCAAAACTTAATAGTAGAATATATTCATATAAATAAATAAAAACTAAAATTCTAGAATTTAATTACTTTAAATTTATGAAAAAAATTATAACATCTTATTAACTTTGCTAATTGAAAAAATGTGGGTATGCACTATGAACATTTTTCCATAATTATATATTTATTGAACAGTTAAAATAAGTTATATCAGCTATAAAACACTGTTATCAGATATAAAAGGTTAGGTGTAGTTTGTAATCAGTTGCAAGCATTAAAAAATTTGAATTTTATTTTTCAGAAAATCTATAAATATAATAAATTAGTAAATACGTTCTCAGAAATTTTAAAAGGCTAGAAAATTTTGTTATTTTAAAGATAATCATTTTTTTCGAAGTTAAAGTCAAACGTAAATAGAGAGAAAATGTTGTTTGCATAGTTTTTATAGAACTTTTTGCTTATTTTAATATATCTTATTGATTAAACATTTGAAACGTGTTAAGTAAAATATCAGTTTTTGTAAATTCCTTAAATAATTAAATATTCCTATATAACGAATAGATTCTTAAATTACATATCTAATTTAATGTTTTACATTATTACAGAAAGAAATGAATTCAATAATATTCATTCGACAAATAAATATTTAAGTTATTAAATTTCTTATAGAATTTTAATATAATAGGTAACATCATTGATTATAGAATATAATTCTACTATATTCTATTCTATTATATTATACTATATTATATAATCAATGGCAACATTTTAAAAATTTAAACAGCGAGATATGAAAATGTTATAATTTAATACAACGTGATCAAATGTTATCAACAAATTATATGAAAAAGTATTTTTTTCCATGAAATTGGAGATTTATCCAGGTTATGTTACAATTGAGTCAAAAATAATTGTATTTAAATACTAAGTGAAAAACATTCAGCATAAGTGCATTTATTTTCAGTTGCGTGAAATTCAATGATGGATTATTAATAACACAATTTTGTATTGATTTTGATATATATTTGTTTTTCAATTTTAACAATGGTTAACGTAAGTTTCAAAGAAAATCATTATTTTTTTTATTCTTTGTATGAAAATAATAAAATTAACCAAAATAATTTTCTGTAAAGAAAATGGTTTTACCTTAATTTCAATTTTGAAATTATAAGTTGTTGTTACATATTTGAATTTATCATGTATTTGTTTTAACTAGACTTATAATTTTACTAATTTTTTCAATTACATATTTTTAATTCAAAAAAAAATGACTAAAAGTAGAAAAACTAGTGATGTTAAAAGACGTAACCATTTACGAAATAAGGGACACATCAAAACAAAAAAACATAAATCCAAAGCATACAATGTTCCTCAACAACCATTGAATAGACGGGGTGATCCTATGGAAGATTTAGAAGAAGAAGAAGTAGAAAACAGTGATATCGGAGATGAAATGTTAGAAATGGTTGACCAAGAGGACTTGGATTTTCTTAAAAAAAACATTGGCAACCAAAATTACAAACTATACAATCGTATTCAAATTAATAATGTAAATTGAAAATAATTATTTTATTTTATATTTTATTCATTAATGATATATGTATTTAGGATGGAAAAAATAAAAAATCTCGAGATAATGATGTTGAAGAATTAGAAAATGAATATGAAAGTAGGACATTGATGATGAAAGAAGATGATGTATCTATAAAAAAACCTTTACTGCCAATCAAAACTAAAGATGGTATTTTAAGAAGATACACTCTAGAGAAAGATGAAATAGGTAATTATTTTGGTTCAAATTTTATTATTAAATTTTATTTGTGATACAAAATTTAATTTAAAAAAAAAAAAAGATTTAAACAGTAGAATTAAATTTATTTTAGTTTTACATGATTGAACGCAAATTATTATTTATTCATTTTATAATACTTTCACCCTACTATGCATAGTGTTATTTCTTGGAAATAACCGATAAAAATAGTTATAATCATGTATTAATTTATGTTAAATAGTGTAAATCAGCTATAATCACACCCGAGTATAATAATAAATTACAGTGAAAACTGTCTAAGATGGAATCGCATGGGACCAACAAAAAATTCTACTTTATGCAGTTTTGTGCTTTATTCATTAAAAAAAGAAAAGTTTCGGATTATTCAATTATACTTTTATACTCATATCGGTACTGGTCTAGTTGACCCCCGCCAGGAAGGCAATTCCCCCGCCACTCAAGTTTAGTTGACGCCCGCCACTTACCTACTTATCTCTCGTATTTTTGATGTTATAAAATGTATAATATACTGATATACTGCAGAGTGCAGATAAAAAATTATAGATTAAAATAGATATTTTAAGAATTATATTTGGTAAAATCTGTGTAGTGAAATTAATTATATAAGATAGGTATAACAGCGGGTGCCGTATATAACATATGAAATACCTACCTCAGTTATTCAGTTGTCGTCATCTGAACAAAAAGAAAATGAATTTCCGACAAATTTATAGTGACGTGCATGATGTTTCATCGGCAATAATTTTTTTGCAAAACCAAAATATTATCCATAAGACTAGGACTTGTGACAGTGGACACAAGATGGTTTTGGATACACAAAGGGGTCGGTGGCGATGTCATTTAAAATCATGTCAAGCAGAAAAAGGTCTCAAGACCAATAATTGGATACAAAGTGCCAAGGTAAAGTTGCCAACTATTGTTCACTTCATTTATGGTTGGGCACATGAACTGACATCAGTGGAATTTTGCAAACGTGAATTTGGAATGAGCAAATCTACTGTAGTAGATTGGAATAATTTTATGAGGGAAGTTTGTGTATGGAAAATTTCTCAAGGTGATTCCAAAATAGGAGGTGTTGGTTGTATTGTCGAGATCGACGAAAGTTTATTTGTTAGACGCAAAAATAATGCTGGTCGAATACTGCCTCAGCAATGGGTATTTGGTGGCATATGTCATGAGACCAATGAGTGTTTCGTCGCATGTGTACCCGATCGGTCGGAAAATACTTTAATGCCAATAATTTGCGAACGTATACGAGTTGGATCGACCATTATATCTGATTCCTGGCGAGCCTATAATAATATACAACAAACCGACCATTATACACATTTAACAGTAAACCACAAATATAACTTCGTGGATTCTATAAGTGGAGCTCATACACAGAATGTTGAGAGGATGTGGGGAAGTGCTAAATGGGGCAACAAGAAACGTAAAGGGACTAAGAGAAACTTCCTAGATCCTTATTTGTCAGAATTTATGTGGCGGAGTAAATTAAACGGTCAGGATCCATTTAAGAAAATGTTGAAGGACATAGCAGAGTTTTAGCCACCTGCATAATTTTTATTATTATTTTTTATTTTTATTTATTATTACCATAATGTATAATTAATATAATAAATTTATAACGTACATATTTATATAAATTATTGGTTATCGAAAATACAAAATGAAAGTGGCGGGCGTCAACTAAACTTGAGTGGTGGGGGAATTGCCTTCCTGGCGGGGGTCAACTAGACCAGTACCCTCATATCAATCAGTTGATATTTTTCATAGACACTTACATTTTAGCATTTTAATATTTAATACGATGAACGGAAGATAAAATTTAAAGTGTACGTACGACTGTTGGTGTATGTACATATATTATACAAATATATATAAAATAATTTTATCTTCTTTATCACAATTTAATGATTATGCATGTTGTGCATATCTATTTTATATATTTATACCTTATTTTTGGCTTATAGTTCATATACGCATGTCTTTTTTCCAGTTTATGCAAGGTTTTTACTTGCATGGGACTTACAAAATCTTTCCGTTTCCACGTTAAGAAGGTTTTATTTTATTAAGTTTCAACATAAATATAGAACTGTAGGAACATGCCGGGACCATAGAAAAATTTCGTATTGGATAGTTTTCCGTTTTATTCAGGGTCCACTTTAGACAGTTTTCACTGTATATGAATTTCTACCAAACAGTTAAATGGCAATATATGAATGAAAAAAATGAAATTATTCAGAGGTTAATTACGTAACTGCATTACATGTGTTTTTTTGCCTTTGTTAATATATCCATAAAATTATAAATTGTTCTTTTTTTCGTAATCATTTATACTGAATTATGTGTATTTTTTGTTGAAATATTATCATTATTACATAAATAATTTGTTATTATTAACATTTACATATAAAAGTAGACTAACTGCTCTAAAAGAGTTCTAATGCCCAAACAATACAAATAAATGAAATATTTATAATAAAATAGAAAAAAATAAATAAAAAGTATAAAGTAAAACCAAAAAATTATACATAATTATTTGAATTTCCTTGTTGATTCCTAAATTTGAAAAAATGTTTGCTGCTTTTTCTTGAATCTAATATAATTTACTATAAATTATAGCTCAGATTATAATCTGTATCACAACATATCATTACAAATATAAGGTAATCAATTTGAAAATTATTTTTTTGCTGAATATTTTAATATTTTCAATTTTCTTTATTGGTTCTTAAATAATATAAAGATTATTTATTCAGAATATTATTAATAAATTATTGTGGCTCTACTATAAATGTTAAAAATTAAAATTTCATATGATATTATTGTACATTTTTTAATACCTATATACATTTGTATACTTTAGAATTAGAGAAGCCACAATCTAAAAAGCAAAAAATTGATGATGATGAAGAAAATGAAAATGACAATAATAATGATGATTATGTTTTGTTGGATACAAATGAACCTGAAAAAGAAATATCAGTCAACAGAGGAGAACCAATAAGTGTTGCAAAATTATATGCCAAACGAGAAAATACAATTCAACATTATAAACAGCGTATTGGACTATTAGCTAGTACATTATTAGAAAATCCTGATTTAAAAGTAAAATAATTTATTTATCTGTATACATTTCATGTGTGTTTAAGGTGAGGCCCCACTGGGAACGATTTTGCGTTTTGAGTGTTTTGTGTCATTTTACACGCGCGATGTTCTCTAGCAATTTTACATGCGTTTCTGCATTTTTAGACACGCTTGTTCGTGTATTTTTCATTTGTTTATTCGATCCTCGACTAAGATGACGTCCAGAAAAATGTTGCTGGCTGAAAGTGCTGCTTTAATTGATATTAAAGTAAATTTGGTTAAGAACCGTTTATGAGTCCACAAATTAAATAAGCATAGGCTATCTGAAGGGGAATTTCATACACTTTTCAGTAAATTAAAGAATACTATTATACTATAATATACAATATTAGCTAATATATCAAAATATATAATATTAATTAATTAAATTACATGTCAAGATCCTTTCCAATGTTGGACCAACATTTTTGAATCTTAGTTTTATTACTGTGGCCCGGGTATCTAGGATTCCAAATAGCTTCCTGTACGAAGACAGTGGCAGCTATTTGTTTGGACACAACCGATACGGAAGACATTTTGACAGCTATTAATCACCAAATATCGAACTATTTTGTTCTTTCAGCGATTACCACGCGTGTAAAGCTACACGTGACACGCAGTACGCACTTAGTGGGGCCACTACTTATGAGTTACATACTTTTGTTAAAATCGCTACACACTATCGTAAAAACGCAAATCGCTCCCAGTGGGGTTGTAACTTTACTATTATTTGAAGCCTTGGATTCTTATATTTAATTTAATATTTCTATCTGAAATATTGCTAAATAATACTTATTTTACTATTAAATATTACATTTTTGATCATGGGAAATTTGTTTTTAACTTAATGTGTTACCGTTCAAAATGTATTGTACTTCTTAGTTTTAGATTATAGTAAAATAAAGGTTTAGTAAGTATGATATAATATATATTAATCATAACAAATTGTTAAATTTGTTGAATGTTCTTTATTATTCTTAGATTGGAAACATAGCACATCTTCTTGAAATAATGGAAAAACGTGATCCAGAGCTACAAGTTACAGTAAAAAAATTAGTAACTCTTACATTATTAGAAGTTTTCAAAGATCTTCTACCTGGTTATCAACTAAAATTAAATCAATTTGATGGAGTTAAATGTAAGTTATTTCATGATAAAGATTTTATTTTATTTTTTTATTTTTTTTAAATAAAATATCGTTTATTGAATATTTACTATTATATGTAGTAAATTTGATGGAGGAATGATAGTGATGGGACGGTGAAAAGGGAAGCTCACAGTAGAGCTATCTTTACATGAATCTTAAATTAATTTTGGTTGTTGAGAAGATCTCTGGACCATTTCCGATTAAGGCATCGGGTAAGGTTACCTGGAAGTGTATTAGAGTAAAGTTAAGATATAAATTGGTTTGGGTGGCTTTGCATTTTGAAATGGAGTCTTCAATAGAAATTGGCTGCAGTCTGGTTGATGGATGGGACATTGAGGTTTTCGTGTAGAGCGGCGTGTGTGACGTACCATGGGGCTTTATTTTTAACAGATTTAATTTTATCATAGTTTATAGTGTTTGATGCACTCTTAGTAACTTTCCTTTTTAAACTATTAAACCTGGAGCATTATTATATTTGTTAAGTATAAGTGGTATCAATAAAATCATGACTGAATATGTAAAAATAAAATAATAGTATTTATTTATATTAAAATTTAGAGTATTAACCATTTAATAATATTTTGTTAATTGTTAATGTTTTTGTTAATTGTTTTATTTTTAATCATGTCATTAAAGATAAAATTTGTTTATTTTTTTATATCAACAATTTTAGTATGTAAACTATTTTTTAACCAGTTTTCAATTTTATTAGCTTTGGTTTTATCCTTGTTAGTTTTCAAAATATTTTTAGTTTATTTGATACTTAGAATTTTCCAGTTATTTAAAATATGACTTACCTTATCATTGTATATATAATGTACATACATATGTAACTAGAAATATTGTGTGTTACTTTATTTAAAGTATATTTATTATAGTTTATTTTTGTATTTTGTTACTAGTGAAATTGGTTACAAAAGAATTAATTGGTTATGAAAGTCAATTGCTGAAGGGTTATAAAATTTATCTGACTAATTTAGAAAAAATGGCTAGTACTCTTCACAGAAAAAAAGGAGATACTCGAGTTATAACAAACGTATGTAATAAATGAATAGCTAATTTAATATGAAAACTAATTACAATAAAATGTGTTAGATATTACTGTAATAATTATAAATATAATAACAAAACCTGCAATTCTGATAAATTACAGTTAATACTTGATCAAATTATTCAATTCAATTATTTTTGTTTGTTAACTACTATTTGAAATTTTAATTTTTCAAAACCTATTTAACTAAAAGTATTAACCTACTTCATAAGAATAAATAAATGTAAAATCAACAAATTTTAAGTTATACTTTTTAATTATAGGTTCATATTAGTTTGGCTGAAATAGCAGTTAATTGCATGTGTGAATTATTAACATCACATTCATATTTTAACTTTGCAGTCAATATTGGGCATTTGTTAACTCTTTATTTAGATAACAAAAATGTTAATGTTAGAAAAAAAGTTGAAGAGACATTTATTAAAATTTTTAAGGAAGATAAAAAAGGAACTATATCATTAGTGGTATGAAGTAAAAATGATTAATTTTATTATTATTTTTATTTAATTGTTAATTTATTAATCTGAGAAATAGATAGTTCGACGTATAAATCAACTTGTTAAAACAAGAAGTCACTGTGTTCACAGTGAGCTTTTATCTGTTTTGCTTGCTTTACCTATCAAAAATGTTAACCTTGATAAAGAAAAAGAAGATATCATAAAATCAAAAAAATTTATGACAAGAAAACAAAAATTGTTAGCTATGTCAAAAAAAGAACGTAAAGTATGAATTAATAATTATGAATATCACATAATATTGTGGAATACTTAATATTTTATTTTATGTTTTCAGAGAAGTAAAATGTTGGATAAATTAGACAAAGAAATGCTTGAGACAAAGGCAGAAGAAAATGTAAAAAGTCACATGAATAATTTAACTGAAATTACTAAACTTGTATTTTTAATTTACTTTAGAATACTAAAAACTGCACCTCGCTCTAAATTATTATCCATTTGTCTTGAAGGATTAGCAAAGTAAGTATTGTTAAAAATGTATCAATAATAAATATTGTTATATTAGATTTATTATTATTTTAGATACAGCCATTCAATCAATATAGAATTCTACCACGATATCCTTACAGTTTTAGATTCGGTTATAAAAAAACATCAACTAAATGTTCATGAACAACTTTGTTGTATTAAAACCATCTTTGTAATATTATCTGGACAAGGAACTGTAATCAACATTGATCCAGTTCACTTTTATTCACATTTGTACAAAGTGATTCCTGAATTGGATTGTTGTAAGTTCAGAAAAATATTTTTGATTTAAATTTATATAATTTATTATACACTATAAACTTTTTTTTTTCTATTATGTTGAATAAAATGTCAACATTTTTTTATAAAAAAAAAATAAAATAAAATAAAATAAAATACTATTTTTAAAATTATAATTTTGGTAATTTGATTGTATTATATTTATTTTTGTTCAATTTGTATATAACAATAATTTTCTTATTTATATTGTTCATTTTTTTTTTTTTTTTTTTTTTGTCTTATCTGTGGCTTGTATTTAAGTTTCACTGTCTAATGTTTATAATATAAACATTATATTATAATAGAAAATTATATAATTGTTGATAAAATTATTCACCTTTTATTGTATGATTTTTTTCTTTTTAGGTAGAAACCATGATAATTTAGAAACTTTTCTTCGTACAATTGAAGCATTATTCTTGGTTGGTCGTAAAAAAGTAACTGCTAATTCTACACTGTCATTTGTGAAAAGATTGTCATCTTTATCTCTCCAAACACTTCATAATTCATCACTAGGAATTTTAGCAGCTCTCCGAACTATAATTCAAGTAATTTTATTCATTATTTATTTATATTAAACTATTTTAACTGTATTAACTTTTTTACATAAGTTTTAATATATTTAAAAAATATAGTTTACAATCTAATCAGCTAGTTATTTAGTTTTGTATGGTATGATACATCACATTATATTTGTGTTTCATCAATTTCAATCATTTTTATCATAAACAAAAAATCTTGAATACAATATTTTCTGATTAAAAAAAAAAACAAAAAAAAAGGAAAAAAGGTTAAATATCCAAAGTTAAACTAAGATCATGTTATAAAATATATTATAAAGGATAAAAATGAGTCAATGATATCACAAATTTATTACAATAATGCTATGAAATCTTATATGACAGGCAATTACTAATAATAATATCTTTATCAATACTTATACCATTACATAATATCGACTTGTATTAAATATTTTAATATTTTATTAAAATATTTTGTTTTATTATTTACTTTCTAGTTATAAAAATAAGAATAGCTTTAAAATACGACATTGCTCTTTAATCATTGCTAATTTTTTAGACAAACAAAAACACAGAAGCATTGTTGGATGTTGACCCATCATATGGTCAAGGCATTTACAATGCTGAATTACAAGAACCAGAATATAGTAACGCTAGCAGTACATCATTATGGGAACTTTTAGCTTTGCAAGTTAGTTATTAGTTTGAGTCGATATTTATTTTTATTAATTTTGTTAATATTTTTCACTATTTCTTCAGCGGCATTATCATCCTGAAGTATGTAAAATGTCAAAAACTGTGGCTTCAATGACAGCTCCACAAAATAATCATAATCATTTAAAACCAGAATTAGCAAAAATGTAAGTTCTAAACTATAGCTATAAATAACATACTATTTAATAAAGTTCTAAATATGCCCGTAATAAAAAAATAACAATAATTAATGCATTTTTAGTACAATATAACTTGATTATCCATTGTCAACAAACCTTTATTAAAGCTGACAGCTAAATTAATTAGAATATATATTAATCATACTCCCTAAAATTTTGACAATATGTGACTTAGGTCTTCTTTAATTTTACTTTTTAAAAAAGATATTTAGTTTTTCAATTTATTTTTTTTATGTTTTTTATTGTTTAAGTCATAAATTCTAATGTGTTTTCTAGAATTTTAGTATTTAGTGTGATTATTAAATTACACCCAATGGTATCAAATTAAATGTATAATTTAAAGATAACAGGATAACGGTCCAATATGCGACCTACACACTGATTTATGGTCCAATACGCGAACTACGTTATAAATGTAATTAAATGTAAATAATTTTATCTAACCTTTTTTTCATTCCACTTCTCAGTGTCATCAATAACAAATACTACGTATTGTTTTAGTCCGTATTGTTATGAAACGTATTTTTCATATCGGTCAAATATTCATCAAAAATAGTTTTTGGATTTTGACACGATCCTCCGCCACTCTTCTTGGAGTTGTTTATCTATTAAAGGAGACGCCCCATTTTTTTTTAATATTATATTATTTCACATAATGATACCTGACTATTACAATGGCCATGTAGGTAAAAAAGTCACTATCTTTACGAATCGATTGGTAAGTCTGGCAACCCTGTTTTGCACATCATAATGTTACTACTTTTTTCATATTTCCATCAGAATTTTGTTTTTTACTACTTCTTAAATATTCCACAAGTTGGCCATTACATACAATACCGTTTTTCACCTTTATACATGTCATCGGATTATCGGCCAGTAATAACCCTCGGTCTTTTAAATATTGAACACATACCACTTCATCTCTAATAATGTGCCTATATAGGTGACCAATAGTAGATGTCAAGTTGAATTAGAAAAATTCACACACACAAAATAAAACTCAAATAAAAAATCACTAAATGATCGCACGCCACATACGAATGAAATTGGAACTGTACTGACTGAGGACAGTAAAGACATAATTAATAATTGTAAATATCTATCGGAGAAAAATATTGAAATATTGAACAAATATCGAAAAAAATAAAAATAAAATGCCCATAACGACAATAACCGCGATATAGAAACCTGTAAATCAACTCAATCTTATTGGTTGGTCAAGTAATATTCGTAGGTCGCATATTTGTCCGTTACCGATAACAGTATTGAGACACATAAAGCTTTAAAATGACTAATAAAATAACTAACGCAAAATATAGCTGTTACATTTTATAGAAAATAAAAATATATATTTATATATATAAACATTTAATGTATTATTTAACAGAATAGAAACTCAAAAAAAAACAATAATTTTCTGTACTTCTGAATAATGATGATAATAGTGAGGTTTTTAATAGTAAATAGGGTCTAAGTATCTATATAAAAAAAAAATCCTATTTATCAACTAGTTTCACAGTTAATTTGTAACAAATTAAAATAATATTTTTCTACTAACAAATATTATTTTTCCTTTATAATTTTAAGATTTAAGATTTTAAAATAAAATTGTAATTTTTTAAATGTTCTATAGTACATTTAAATAGATACTAAAATAAATTGTACCAAATATTACATAAAACAATAAATCTTTGGTTCCTATAAAATATATATATATAAATATATAGAATTTCAAATTTTACTTGTTTAAATAAAATTAAATGTTCTTTCATTATTTTGTCATTTACTCAATTAAGACAATTTAATTTTAATTTATCAATTTATTTTGTTCACAACATTTTCTTTCATAATTGTTATTTATATTACTTAAAAAAAACGTATGGACTTTTATTAATTATTTTCATCCTCAATTTTATTTTGAAAACCCATATGTTTTTTAATTTTAGGACACCTAGTGAATGGTTTAAAGAATATGATCCTACTAATGTGGCATTCAATCCAGCAGTCATGCCTCCTGTAAAGGTACCTCAGAGAGTACCAGCACATTATCCAACGCTTCCATATGCTGATGTTTTGAATAAAAATTATTCCAATGTAAATTTTTCAAAAGATTTTTTTTAAATTTGTACTGTGATTGTAAATTTAATAAAGATCTATTAAAATTTACCAAATTAAATGTTTTATTATACTCATAGTACTGATAATATCACTGCATAAAATTACAAATCTATATTTTATTATTGTTCTGTGTTTATATCCTTGCATAACACTTAACTGATAATATAAAATAATATACAATTTTATTGTATATAATCTGTGATAATATTAATATTTTGATAACCCCTTGTTATTGATTATTCTGCTAGAGTGTGATACTGATAACAAACAATAGATTATACTATTATTGGCACGGACTAAGAAAAGAATCTTAGTCCGTGGAATTAAAATTATTTTTATTGTTACTTATAAATATGCTCTATGCTATTGCTTTAATAAATATCTAATATTATTTTTAATTTTTTTTATTTACCCATTAAAAAAAACTATCAATGTGCCAAACTGAAAATTTTATTTAATACATTATCTGTGATAAATTATTGAAATGCACAAAACAGAAGTTGACATTCCTCTGAGCGTACGGAAACGGCTTACTCATCTCTTCGGACTAATTGAAAAAGAATTTGAGTCTATTTGTCAAGAAAACGTTATCCTACAGGAGAAGGTGGAATCACTCACTGAGAAAGTAAATGAAAAGCTTTTGACAACTGAACAATTCCAAATTAACTCAAAACAAAAACCACCTACTGGTCAAAAACTTAAAACGGCTGAAAAATTAAAAGCACAAACCAGTAAAATTGTGTCTAGCTTTAAGAATCCATCTGCTGTCAATTGTCAGTTTATGAAAGAATATGGCGGACACAGGGATGGCTTGTGGGATGTAGCCTTACCTTGTACTGGACAACCTGTAATTGGAACCTGTTCAGCGGGTATGTACTGAAAATCTTGTAACATTGATTATTTTTATTATTTTTTTATTTATTTATAGATCATACTGCAAGAATATGGTGCATTGAAACTGGCACACCCTTATTACAATACACCGGTCATATGGGATCTATTAATTCTATAAAATTCCACCCAAACAAAGATTTAGCACTTACATCAAGTGGAGATCAAACTACTCACATTTGGCAGGCAGCCGTTAATTTAGATAATTTAGTGAGTATATTTTATTTTTATTTTTTATCTACTGAAAAATTCTTAAAAACTTTACAATGTATAAGTATGATTATTTAAATATTTCAATTCTTTAGAGGGATAGAGAATCTGATGATACTGAAACAGAAGATGACCTGGTTGTTCCAGTTTTACGTACACCATCATGTACATTTTCAGGACATAATGGGCCAGTGATGGCTAGTGACTGGTTGTTTGGTGGTGATCAAATTATTACAGCATCTTGGGATAGGACTGCTAATTTGTATGATGTTGAAACTAGTGAATTATTAAATTCACTTACTGGTATGTTGTATTATGTCATAATTTTTAAACTTTTTATGTTTATATTCTAATATTTTAACTCCCCGATTAAAAACTATGTAAGGTAGTAATATTAAAATTATTGAAACTAATGTTTTTTTATATTCATAATGAATTTATATATTACTTTTTTTAATACCTATTAGAGTGGTTGGTTCACAGGACTATATTAATAGCTTATGTAAATTATTGAGATCATCTATTATTTTTAAAGACTACCTATTTATTTGAATTATTTATTGCCATAACATTAAATAATGTTTACTTAATAATCTGGAAGTTCTTTACTTGTTCTACTAATTTCATTTACATTGCTAAATTTAGTAAAATTTTCAAACAAGGCACTACGCTAATGGCTGAAAGTATAAATTTCATCGAGATGATAACTTTTATTAATTCAGACTTATCAAATGGTCTAATAGTATAACTTTTATAGTTCCATTTTCCATTTTTTATTAGTACTATTTAGATATTGAAAATGACAAAACCATTAATTTAGCCAAATATTAATCATTATTTTAATAAGTTATCAATATTTTATATAGACTTATTAATTAATATAAAGGTAATCTCATGAAATATTGACTAACGGATATCCTTATCTCAATAAAAAAATATAAAAACGGTATTTATTTTATATAGCATTTATAAGTTAAAATTAATTATAAATATTTATAATATAGTAGTTTTAATATTTATATTTCTAAAACAATTTAATGAAACATAAACTATAATAAATTTATAATTCACAAATAAATAAGAATTATATTTATTATTTACATCATGAAACAGTATATCTGCTCATTAGTTAAAATTTAAAATGTTTAAGTAATAACAATCTTTATCATAAATTTTTTTTTATTTTGCGAAGAAATGTATGACTTTATAAATAACAAATAGTAAGTAATATACAGTGGCGTGACTAGGTATTATTCTAGAAGAATTTTTTCCTTAAAATTTGAAAAAAAAATATGTAGGCATGTTTTGTAATTATTATAAATTATATGTTTTGTTGGGTCATAGCCTCCAATAGGCAGGATTATATTTTATCATTTTATACATTTTTTTTCTTCATTAAAAATTAATTCAGTATGCCATTGCTAATATGTTATTGTCTTTTTATATATATTGAATATGATTGTATTGAAATGTTTTTATAATGATAATTAATAGAAAATAAAATTATGGATGTAGAATTTTAAACAATGATAATATCATATAATATATAATATATAATAATATCATATAATGTCATATATATTCCAATTTATTTATTTTTTATTTTTAATATTATTTGTACTTAACTAATATTACTCCTATTATTTTATTATATTTATGTAATTTAATGAAAATATACACAATCATTGAGTACTAAATTATTTAGCCTCGAATATTTTATTATGATTTATAATATTTTATAGGTATATAATTGAAAAATTAATTACTCATCAATTATTTATGCTTAAATTGAATTGTTATTAAAAATATCTTAATGTTTTAAATTTAGTATTAAGAAGCTTTTTACATTGATTTTTATAGATTTAAAAATCCTAATCTAATGCTAATTATTATTCTTAAACAAATTTAATTTATGTATAGTATATATATATTTCAAATAATGTTATAATATTAATATTAATTATTTTATATTAATTTAATAGTATGTTTTTTCTAAATTACAATTCTCTAGGACACGATGAAGAACTAACTTACACTTCTTCACATAATTCTCAAAAGTTGGTTGTGACTGCATCTAGAGACACTACATTTAGATTATGGGACTTTCGTGAAGCAATCAATTCTGTTTCAGTTTTTCAAGGTCATACAGAGTAAGTATTTACTTAATATTAACTTAATAAATGTTAATTTAATATTAATTTAATAAAATACAACATCACAATTTAATTTTTAAACTCGTTTTTTAGTACAGTAACGTGTGCTGTTTTTACATCTGCTGGACTCGGCGGTGAAGATAAATTGGTATCTGGATCAGATGATAGATCCATTAAAGTTTGGGAACTTCGAAATATGCGCTCTCCAATTACTACTATCAGAGCTGACTCTGGTGTAAATCGATTTGCTATAGCTTCTAATGGTATTATTGCTATTCCTCAAGACAATCGACAAGTTACATTATATGATATGACTGGCCAACGAGTTACCAGAATACCTAGAACTGCAAGAAATGTAATATTTTTATTAAATAATTTTATTCAGTGAAATAAACTATACAATATAAATACTATTGTATAATAATAAAAAGTGACTAGTATAGTAAATGAGTAGTAAAGTACATTTTTTGTATATTTAACAAAATAAATACAATTACTACTCCCATCCACTAATTACTTTTAATTATTGCTAATTATTAATTTAATTATATTTTTGTTTTATTATATTAAATCCAAATTGTATGTAATTTATTTTTTCAGGGACATAGACGTATGGTCACTGCTGTTGCATGGTGTGAAGACAATGCATTTGCAAATTTATTTTCTTGTGGATTCGATCGGTTAGCTCTAGGATGGTCTGTTCAGTTATGTAAGGACTGATTATTAGTTATTAGTAATGTACTCACAAATATTTAAATTTCCTCATTATTTTTTGTTGGTAAAAATGTTAACTTTTTTTCTGTTTCCTATTTTATCTTAGTGTGTATGTGTGTGTGTTTGTATTTTATTTTTATTTTCTTAATTTGTGCAAGATTCAGAAATTTTAATACTATTGAATTTTAAAATGTTTATTATATTAATATTGTTATACAACTTTTTTCGTCCTTTTATTTTGTTGATAGCTTACTAGAGTTAACTAATATTTATTATATTATTTATCAAAAAGTTACTATGTTTTTAACCGTAATTAAAATATACAAGGTATTCAAAAAGTGTGGAGATAAACAAGAAATCAAAATAATTGGACCTTAATATTTTTCTTATACTCACCTTGAATCAACAAACTTTCTGAATACCCTGTGTACAGTAAAACTAGTCTAAGACTAACCTTTTTTAAAATTAAAACCTGTCAAAATGGATAAATTTTCTTTGTTCCAGCAAACAATATTTATGATAAACCTATTACTATAAAACAAAACTGTGATAAAGGAATATATGTTTTGATTTAAATAATGGGTTTTGTCTTGGATCAGTTTCACTGTTTTTAATTGTCTTTTATTTATCGATTAGAGTTATAAGAAATAATATAATTTACCAATACGAACAAAAAAAATAAAATAAATAGTCTGATAGAAATAACAAATATATCTTATGGATATTATATAAGCCTTAGTACTTCAGTAACTTTTTAAAATGTATTAAATTATTTAATATATAATAATCATTGTTATTAATATATTAGATTGTATGTTTATGTTATTGTAACTCAAATAATTGTGCAAAAAACTACAGTGACATTTATCTAGTATATTATGTCTAAATTTGTGTTTAAATCTTATTTCGTTTCAAATCTTTTATCAATTTACTTCTATAATAAAAAAAAAACATCTTAAAATATATAGCAGTTATTTAAAAACTGAATGTACATGTTATAGAAAAATATTGTTTAAATGATCATGCCTACATACATACCTACACCTAAAGCATATTACCATTTTAATGTTATTAAAATATATATATATATATATTTGAAGAATTAAAAATGTTAGTGGTGATGTATACACTCAAACTTAAATTATTTACCGGGGCTTCAAATGACTTATTGGAATTTTGGATTTCACTTGTATAAAAAATGTATTTTTTAGGTTAAATAAATTTACTTTTTTAGTTTAGATTTAATGATCAATGGATGTATTTACAAAAGTATAACAAAGACCAATGGTGCGTATTGCAAATGCAATACCTAATTTAGGTGGGTGGTAGGGGTTGATAATACACTGGTACTATAGAATGTATATAAACTGTACAATTACTATACAAGCCTACTATTATTTTCACAAGTGTAATTGTATATGAGAATCAAGAGCCTTAGCTTATGAAATACTGTCTTATATGTTACTATTGGTTCTATTTGGGGAAAAAATAGTGATGTAATTACTTATATCAAATTTAATTTTTGTGCAAACCATATGAAATTGACATTGAAGCCATTAATAAAGGCTGACATAACTCTTGTAATCTTTGACATTATTAAGAACAATGGCATATTTACGGATTTGTGTTTGGAATAGTTTGGTATGTCAAATTTATGAATGAAGACCATATTATTCAATTTTATACAATTATACAATTCAATAATTTATATAGGTACCAAGTTTCTAACATTAGATACTAAATTACTGTCACTTAGTCACACTACAAGAAGGATAACTAACATTATCCAGCACAATACTGTTATGTTATATATAATTAATCCATCCTAACCACACCTCTCTTACTACCTTTGCTGATAATATATGAATAATCTCCACCAATATTGACCTAACCATAGACTCTCTACTGCACTTCAAACACACCTTACTAAACTTCAAAACTGGTTTAATTTGTGGAGAATTAAGATAAATCAACACACATTACGTTTTCCATACGTCCAGGTCTCTGATCCCCCCCATGATTCTCAATAACGACATAATTCCACATGCAAAATTCATACATTACCTCGGAGTTCACCTTGACAACAAACTCACATAGGCTAATCATATAAAAAAAAAAATAGAAAATCCCTCAATATAAAACTTCACAAAATTAGACATCTTCTCAAATCAAATATCACACCAAACTTCTAATAATATAAACAAATTATCCGGCCTACATGAACCATGGAATACAACTATGGGGAACGGCTAAGAAATCCAACATTCAAATATTTCAATTGTTTCAATCTATTTGCCTTCATCTCGTGACTAATGCCCCCTGGTTCATCATCAATATCACTCTTCACACAGACCTCAAAATTCAAAACATTCATATACTTTCCTCTCACTACTATAGAATATTTCATAAAAAGACGTACAACCATTCCAACCTTAAAAAAATAAAAAAAATAAACTAAGTACAGAATTGTGAAGTAATGTTGTTTGGACACCCTCTTTGATCAAGCCGTCCAGTATTCTAATCAAACTGCCATATTATCTAATATAAAAATAAAAAGAGGTACCAAGTATCTAATATTATTATATTTATTATATAAATTAAAGTAGGAGAATGATTGATTTATTTTCCTGTTAAAATTCTAAAATAATTCTATGAATTGAAAATTTATTTAAAAAATTCATAATTTCATAATGATATTAAATATTCTGGATTGTTTTATAATTTGATTTATTGTACATTTAAAAATTGAGTACTTACATGCCTCTGATTGTTTATGAATAGCCTTTTTTTAATTTAATAGATTAAAAAAATAATGTTCAAAAATATAAACAGTTGTTGAACTTAAAAAAAATCAAATTATGAATATTTGTAACTAAATTTTCTTTTAAAAGTTGGTTAGGTAAAAATTAAAGAAACACATAATATAAATTAGTATATTTTTTAAAAGATTAACGGTTTATTTGTTGAAGATAATAAATAATTAACAGAAGCACTAAACTATTTTGCAACAAAAAAATAGACATTATTGTCTGAATAATGACATTTTATTGAGAGTATAAAAAAACAATAATAATTAATAAGTAAACAAGTACAATATTCATAAGCTATTCATAGTGGTTTAAATATAATTTTTATATTATAATTGAAATTTAAAACCATAAAAAATAAATCGAGTTATAACATAAGCTTTAGTTAATTTACAAAATAAATGCATATTTATTTGATCGAAATCACAAAAAATTGTTTAGAAGAACATATTTAAATTAAATACAAATAATAACCATAATAATAATAATAAATAAAAAATGTATGATTTAATAAAAAGTAAAAAATTAAATAATAAAAAATAATATAACATACCACTAAAAGCAAATATAGCTGTTAAAAATAATATGAATTTATGTTATCTTTTATTTATTCTATTTATTTAAATTTGTGTAGTATTTATTAGATAATATTAAATAAATAAAATGTTATAATTAATAAATGTTAATTCATTAAAATAATAATAATAAATAATAATAACAAAATATATAATGTATTGTGCTAAATTCGCCATTGATTAAGTTTGTGCTAAATGTAAATGCCAAATTAAGACATAATATTAATATAGAATTTTAAAAAAATCTAATACATACATACATACATATGTGCATGAATATATATATATATATATATATATATATATACTGTATAGAGTTAATAATTATATAAAAATAAATATATTATAAAAACCAAAATAAAGGGGATAAGCTATAAATTTTGTAGAACACTATAAATTATTATTTTTAAAATGGCTTTCAACATTTTAGTACAAGATAACATATTTATAGAATCAAGCATATAATTGTTCCAAACACAAATTTGATCATAAATATTCCATCTAATTCCAATCTACATCTTTAACAAATGGGATAAAAAAAAAAGTGTTCATTTTTAAACAATGTACATAATTTTTATTCAATTACATATAATACTTTGATGCCTTATTTATCTCTCCAAAAGCGCATTTCAAATGTAGTTTAAGCAATTAAAAAAAAAATTGATTTTTTAATTAACAATTGTTTAGAGTAAAGCACAAGTACCATAATTTCAAGTTAAAACTGAATGATAAATATTAAGCTATAATACAGTAAAATAATAACAAAATAATTATCTAAACATATTAAACAAAACATTTTAAGTAAATGGTATAGTTCTTGCACACAATTAACTAATGTTATATTTTAGAACATATGCTCCAAAAATATTTTTTCATTAATTGCAATTAATTTTTATACTCAAAATAATTCCAAAAAAATAAGAACATTACATTTTTCAACTATATTTCTAAAAGTATTTTTTGATATGTATTAATATCATAATAATGATATACTTTTCTTAATTGTGAAGTGAATAAAGATAAAATAAAATACAGCTAATATATAGATATATATAAGAACTGTCAAATTAAAATAATTAATACTGAAATTATACAATAAAATAACCATTATGATTCACACATTAGCGTTTCAATGGTTATATCATACTATCTGTAAATTACTGTAAAATACTAAGAAAAATACACTTTCCTCCAAATTTTTGAACAGTAAATTAAAAGTACAAAAATACTAAAGATGTATTTAGAATTAGGAATGCCTAAGACCAATTTTATCAAGGGTACAACTGATTTTCGATCATATTTAACCTAGCATTAAATTTAATACTACAAAATTGTCCTTAACTAGATATGATTGTTAGATAAATATTGAATTTCAAGTCAGTTCAATAATAATTATTTGGTGTTTAATTTTGTAAACCATTAAAGGTTAATACAGTCATAAGGAATTCTATTCAAGTATATTTCAAGTCAATGGAGCTGACAAAAAAATAAATATATATTTATATATCTTAACAAAATGATAATTATTTGAATAGATTAGAACTAAAATTGACAATTTTAAAGTAACCTTATCCCCCTTTCTATATAAAAACATAACCTGAAATTCTGCTTTAAAAATAGTTTAATTGAAATATTCTTGGCTAAAATCCGGAAGACTGAAACGCGAGAATAAAACTTAAATAAAAAAAAAATCATGGCAATTTTTTTTTATTGTTTATGTTTGATTTCATTGAATTAAAGTAAGCGACATCGTCCCTTTTTTTTCTTTTTGACCTGCAAAGCTGCTCTAGTTGAAGTTTCAAAAACTTCACGAACACCTTCTTTGCTCTTAGCTGAACATTCCAAATACGCAAATGCATTGATCTTCTCGGCCATTGCTCGCCCCTCTTCGGGTCTCACTGGCTCTTGTTTCATCTTGTTCAGCTCACGAATTGTATTGGCATCATTACGCAAGTCTTTTTTGTTGCCAACCAATATAATCGGCACATTGGGACAAAAATGTTTCACCTCCGGTGTCCACTTTTCTGGGATATTTTCTAGTGAATCAGGTGAGTCTATGGAGAAACACATAAGGATAACATCCGTATCAGGATAAGACAATGGTCTAAGTCTATCATAATCTTCTTGGCCTGCTGTATCCCACAGTGCTAGTTCTACTTGTTTACCATCCACTTCAATGTCAGCTACATAGTTCTCAAACACTGTGGGAACATATACTTCTGGGAATTGATCTTTGGAAAACACAATTAATAGACAAGTTTTTCCGCAGGCACCGTCGCCGACGATGACAAGTTTCTTACGGATTGCTGCCATTATGTCGGAATGTTATGCTTATCAAAAAAAAAAAACTAGGCGTTGGCCCTGTTCTGAATTTTAACTACAAAATCAATCACAAATACACGATTATTCACTCTTATTAATTAAAAATAAGAACTATCAATTAAAATACAAATTATTATAAGTACCTATGTAAAGAATTGAATAGTATAACTAATAAAAAAATCCCGAGTAAATTACGAAGTGAATGAGCTCATTTGCGATCGCCAATTATTGGATAATTTATCATCACTGATTTTCGGGAAAGAAATACCTTTATCTAAACGACACTAGAACGAAACGACGTTTTATCTAATAAAAACTGAATGTGGACAGCTTGCCGTATAACGATAGTAAATAACAGCTGATAAACAGGAATAAATCCAATGTCATTTACAACGGAACGCTTCCTACTCCCTAAGCTAAGCAGAATATTTTAAAATATTTTTTAATCCCTTATGGCCCTTAGAGCAATAAATATTTTACTGCCCACCCATATGGTATATATTTTGAATAAGGCGAATTCAAATTTTTAAATATTTCATTAATACTAAATGTTAACAAATTTAAAATACCTATTACAATATCATTTAAGATAGTAAAACTCTAGTTACAAAAGAATTGTAAATAAAGTTCTACATAGTTATTGTGATTCAAAAATTCTTTACACTGTTAAATTAGTTGAGAACATTAAAATATGGAGAAAACCTGAAAATACTCGCTATTAACTATGCAGTCAATGTGGAAAAGACATATTTAGGCCACGCCTATGTACAGGGCAGGCGGGATACCGGGAGTTTCTCGGTGGGCCTATTGTACTTGTTAGCAATTTTTTTTTTTAGGTTTATCGGCTTAGGCTCATCGTGTCAACAGACATAGACGCATTTTCTAATGTATTGCATTAGAAACTATAAAATTAATATATAATCATTTTATATGAAAATATACGTTTTTTATAGGTTTGTTTTTATACCTTTGATATATTATAAGTGGATTATTTTTTTCCCCGGGAGAAATTTCTGACATAGTCCGGTCCTGACTTTGTACGTTTTGATTTTACATAATAGGGATGGAAAATATAATTAAGTTAAATGAATGGATTCTCCTAATTTAGTTTAGTGTATAGAATCGATGCAGTGATTGACTTCGAATTATTTAATTATAATTTTAACTCAATTTAAATAATTAATATACTAGGTACTAATAATACCTACCTATTTAGATTGATTATTTGTGTATTAATTGTAAAGTTATATTTAAATTTTTTAACGATTAATATTAAATGTTATAAGCTTATTAAATGTAGCCCAGTTGTATATTTAGGCAGCCGCTCTAAAAGTATCTCCAAATTATGGGGGTGTGACCCAACCCTTATATCATAATACTATGTTTTTAAATATTTTTATAACATTTTTGTTGAAATTATATTTTGACCACATATTTTATTTTTATTATGGATTCGATATAAGTTTGTTATATAGTTATTACTATTATTATTACCATGTATGTACACTAATTTAGAGAATTATAAATATTAATTTAATACAATTATGGAAGAAAAATAAATATCTTATTATAATTAAATTTAACAGTTTTATAAAAAACTATCATAGAAATACTACAATAATTTGGTAATAAAATAAATACAAATAATAACAATAACAGAATTTTCGCATAAACGATAACTACGTACCACAGTAAAATCACATATATATATATATATATATATATTACACATATCTGTAAGATAAAGTAGAATTGAATCACAGAATAGACTGAATTATTGAAATGTTAAATCATCTTCGACTTTCGATTGTGTAAAATAATCAATGTTACCAATGAACCGATTCATTCTTCAACTCTGAATCATTTTAATCGGTTTATCTAACTGAATCGATTCAATGAATCAAATCGTTCATGAGGTATTCTTGTCTAGGTTCATGAATTACCCATCCCTAACATATAAGCGATATTTTGAAAACATGAACACTGGTAAGGTGGTAAATTAAGTTTGAATACTATTAAAAACATGGATTAAATCTATATTTAATCTATGTGAATGAAGAGGATCACGTATGTAAGTTTTATTCATTTAAGAGGACGCCACACAACCAAAAAACATGTACGAAAACGTGTTTACGCATTTTAATATTACGGCTTATTGAGTAGTTTTAAAGAAAAAAACCTAATACAAAAGTTATAGAGAACAATATTTTGGAGATAATGACATAACCTTTTTTTTTAAATCATCCCTAGGAAAAGTTACAAACATTTGAAAAAGTAAAAAATTGGTTTTTTGTTTTGGTTATGGTTTGTTAAATACTGATTGTATAAAAAAAACGGACGTCATTATCTCTAAAATTTTGTTCTCTACAATTTTTGTATTAGGGTTTTTGCTCTAAAATCACTCAGTGAGCCAAGTTTTTGAATCTAAAAATTCTTAAAACTAAGATTTTACGTAAAAATAAAATTATATTACGGCCGACGTGTGCTGCTCTCATTTCTAGCGGCAACTTTATTAGTCCCCTTCTTGTTACGACGCGTGACGTTTGCATCAACGACCGGAAAAAAACCGGTCTGTTATAAGCGTTCCGTAGGCCGAAGCCCGCAACTAATAATAGGTAATAGCTAAATAATATATTTTCATAAGATGAAAACAATAAATGATATTATGTTTAGTCAATATAATAATTTAAATTTATTATACAGTACAATTTGTACTATTATTATTTTTGGTGGGCGACAGCTTGTATAATAGCGGCAAACCGCCAAATTCTGACGTATGTAAAAACTGTTTTTTTATTGCAAAATATATTTTTGTTTAAGAAAAAAAAAATTTTCACACAAATTATAGAGTTTACTGAAACTTACTAAAGAGTATAGAGCAATTTGTTAGGACTTTATTCTAGATATATTTAAAACGTAAAGCCAATTATTTTATTACATATAAAAAGTTGGTTTTTCACAAAAAACTGTGTGGATTATTTTCAAAATAGTTCAATATAGTATACATGGAAAAATATGATTTCAAGATTTTGTTATATTTTTTTGATATAAGTTTAAATTGAAAATTCAATTTTTATGAAACAATTATGAAATTTTTTTTATAGTAAAGATTTTCTGTGGCTTAAGGCCAAATCTTCAGAGATTAAATTATACAATTATAGTTTATAATATGGTATATCTAAATCTAATACCACTAAAATATTGGCAATAAAAAACTTTTATGTTTGAGTCGGTCAAAACAACGTAGTGGTAAAATAACAAGAAAAAGATTGGCTAAACCACAGAAGTGCCCGTTTCAGCTTATTAATTTTGATTTTCTATACACTAATTATTTACAGGGCCGGCTCAAGGTATAGGAGAGCTAAGCACCTGCCTAGAGCGGCACTTTAGTAGGGATGGCATTTTCAAAATTGACTATATTTTTTTTAGTATTATCGGTATGTTAAAAGAAAAATATTTAAATTAATTCATTCGTGAAAACCACTTAACTATATAATACAATAATATTGGCTTAAGTTATTATATTACTCCATGATTACGGCCTATGCTGAACGTTTTCAATTATTCCAAAAATATAAATAACCATACAATCAATTCCGCGATTTCCGATAACCGCGATAGTGATGGGTTTTGAGTAATAATTATAGAAATCATTTTTAAGTCTTTCTACGTATAATTTTATACATAAAATAAAAAATTACAATTTTTTTATGTAGATATGTCACATAAAAAATAGGGGGAGGGGCTAAGTTTAAAATAAGAATTTTTTTGAGGCGGCAAAATTTGATTTTGCCCAGTGCTGTTTTTGCTAGAGCCGGCCCTGGCTATTTATAAATAATCATTTTCAGATTTACTATCTATTTATATTTACTTTATGAAGTATTTTGAATTGGAACTTGGAAGACCAAAATATAAATCATCATTTGAATGTTCTTATTATTTGGTTTGTGTGACTGTGTACCACGTTTGTATCGTGTTGACCAATTACTTTCAGTGTTTTTTTTTAACGTGAAGTATTTGTATTAGTTCCTTTTAAAAATGGCGAATAAGACGCGTCTAATAAAACGTTCAAATCGTAAAAAAATAAGCCACTCTCTTATGTTAAATCGGTACAACAAACCCAAAAAGTAAGTGTTTTACGCATTATTTTTATTCATCAGGTTTATTCAGGTGACTTTAGCATCAGTGGCGTACCCGTGAAACATTTTTTGGGGCATCAATAATTACACAATTTTTTATGGATATAATATAATCTGAAACTTTATTATAAATTATTACTAAATACTTAAAACTCATGTTGATCACTTAATATCAATGATAACCACGTTATAAAATAGTAACTATATGTGACCATCACTCCTAATCCCAATTCGGTCGAATATTGATATTTTATATTACATTGATAAGTGATATCAAAAATTTTTGATATCAAACACGATTAAAATTAGTGAAAATTAAAAATATTTATAATTTACATTATTTAAGCTGAACAATTAATTTGCATTATGGCATCAAAAAAATTCTCGTGGGGGGGAAATGCCCCTGTTGCCCACTGTTCAGTATCAACCATACAATTTAAGTATATCCTTGTTTTTCATCAGTGTAATATAATCAATTTAAAATATTTTTTGAATCCAAAAATTATTAAATTATTTAAATTATTTGGGCGATAGTAATTAATATAGTCATACGAATTATAGATAACGGCGGTTGTTCATAAATGAATAAACTGCGCTTCCTAATGAACTTTTGACGGTCGGAACGCAACCCAGAAAAAAAAAAAGCTGCAAAAATATCGAAAACACTGAAATTTCCCTTGGTAGAACCTAGACATAGGTGGGGCCAGGGTGTATACGTATAAGAAAATCGTGTAATGATATGTTGTAGCTTTAAATGAATGTTTAGTAGCCTATCGTAAATTTTTTACTGATTTATAAAAAAAAATAAAATAGTCTTTCTCTAAGTCTTTTTATACTGAACATATATAGTGGAGCACACACGGCGGGTGAGGGGTGTCGATTGACACCCCTCAGAGAATTGGTGGATGACTAGTTCTGAGTGAACTTCTATGAATATTTGTTTAATTGAATACTTACCAATTTTTCAGCTATCCAAATCGATATACTAATTATGTTTATCCTAGAACTAATGCGTCACATGAGAATAAGTAGTAGGGCTCATCCCAAAAATTATCACGTTGACTGCCATACTAAAAATTTGTAATTTGCTATTATTGCTTTGTGGGATCTATAAACCCTACAGTATACTTTTACCATTGGGCTTTGTGGGGTCTTTGGACCCTAATGATTAAAATCATTTTTAGACCACGTAGGATTATGAAAACCGTCAAAATATACACTTTCATACGGAAACATATTTTGTCATGGCCTCCTGGGCAATTCTGTTAAATGGTTTTGAGATTAAAATATTTCTTATGAATTTAAATCTATTTTTAATTTAACGACGTATTTTTCCAATAAATGTGCGTATACGGTTAATATACGTATAAAGATAAGCTAGTTTTATTTTTATTATTATAGTATTTTATATTATTACTTAATTGTGTTCGATAGCGCAGTGTACATTGTTTATACATTGATAATTGGTACTCTAGTGTAGAGTTGGCCGAAAAACTTAACTGTGAAAATACTCATATGGTCGGAACTTTAAGAGCTAACCGACGTGGTAATCCACGTGATGTAATTAGTAAAAAATTAAAAAAAGGAGAACTTTTCGCTCAGCAAAGTAGTTCTAATATTGTTGTCATGAAATGGCGAGATAAACGTGATATATACTTAATTACAACTAAACACACTGATGAAACCATAGAAATACGTCGAAAAACTGGAGATATAATAAAAAAAACCTCTTGCGGTGGAAGATTATAACATTGGAAAATCTTTTATAGATCGTTCAGACCAAATGGCATCTTATTCAAGTCCCTTAAAAAGGTCAATAAAATGGTATAGAAAAGTAGCGTTTGATATACTCTTGTCAACATCTGTTGTGAATGCTCTTTCACTTTACAAATCTGTTAATATGAACAATATCACTATTACAAGATTTAAAGAAGAAATTATTAAACCACTTTTATTTAAACCTACTGTACCATCTCTACCTGGAACTCCTATCTCTCATAAACTTGTATCTTGTGGCAATTTAAAAAAAAGGATGTGTCAAAAATGCTATTCAAGGTTGTCATCTGAATTTGGAAGGAAAGTGGCACAAAATAGAACGAGGAAAATATTGACACGCTGTGAAGGATGTAACATTTTTATATGTAGGGATTGTTTTATTAAATTCCATAAAAGTTCTTTGTAAATTATAGAAATATGTTGTTGCCAATAATTAACAAAAAAATACATTATAATTGTTTATGTGTAATTTTGTTTTACTTTTATCTACTATAATAAAGATAACAAGATGTTAAAATATAAATTTATTTTATGATAACCTTGTAAAAATGTATTCTCATAGGTTAGTATACAAACATTACCTTGTAAAAAATATGGTAAGCCGAAAAAATTATTTTATAAAGACTATCTATTGTCTTGTAGGGTTTTTTTACCCCACATGTGTCACAGAGGCCTCGTAGGGTTCATTGACCCTACATGATTTTATTAAGTTAATTTGATTCTACTAAGTGAGATAATAATATAATGTTATTAGGTATTTTTTTAAAAATTCATTTTTTTAAAGTGAAATTGGAAAAGTTTGTTAGACAATACAAGACAAATTTCCGTTAAACAATATGTAAAGGTAAATGATGGGTCAATAGACCCCTCACGGCAGTCAACGTGTTATGCTATACAGACTTATAAATTAATACCCAGAAAATTGAAAAATAATTAATATTAGGTTTATTTAAAAAAATTGTATTCTTAGTATCTTTGTTAGTAAGATAAAACCAAAAACACTTAAAAATAAGAGTTATACTATGCCTAAACTCAGATTTTACTGGTAGGGTAGGGTGGGTACCTCGAAATATATATTTTTGACACCCACTGAACATACATAACATTCAAGTAATTCTGTGTATATCTTTTGACTTATGTATTAGACTAGGCCCATATTTAGCCTAGATGTAGTTGTATCTTTCATTATAATTAGTAATCATACCTAAACGTAAATTTCAACTTAAATAAGTATAGGTACAACACTCCAAAGCCGTGGACTCAAATTTGATATGGTAGAGGTATGTATAATTACATAATAGTTATAAAGTACCTATGGATAATAAAATATTATAATTATAAATCGTAATTTTAATATTGTTAATGATCATAATGATCATAATATTACCACAGCAAGATATTTATTTTTCTTGATTTTTTTGGTTTTTTTTGTATTATGTCAATTTAGTATGATTACGTAGATATTATATCCATTATGATATATATATTATTCAATATTTTTCATAGTATGAAGTTATTCAATGAATATGTTGTATAATAAATAAAATGTAAGACCGATTTAATCTATAGGTAATGAATTTAATTTATAGTTGATATAAAATTAAATTGGTATATTCTTATACTATTATATTATTATTATATTCTTATATTTTATTTATTTAATAAAAATTAAAATCACAATTAGGTATTGGTACACAAAAAATATTACTTAGGTAAAAAAAAAAAAAAATCATTACAATTTATAAATATTAAATTATGGAAAATTATTTTCCATAATTTTATACAAAATATATAAACATAGATAATATTTATTACTAAATTAAATAATAATATAAATTGTAAGATATATTTATGCTTTCAGTAAACCTTGGAAAATAAAAGGAGATAAATGCGTAGTACGATTACATGGTCTTAGTAACAGTTCTTCGCCAGTCTTAGTAATGGGCATTTTTTGATGATAGATAACTAATTCACCTAAAATAAAAAGAAGATTTAATTTTAATATTTTTTTAATAAATATGAGATTATAAAAAAAAATAAAATATTAAACGGAATAATAACAATAGTTAATATTAATATAGTGTTGTTCTAATTAAATGGGAAGTAAACATCTACTATTTATTATCAAATAAATAAAGCTTAAGTAGCGTTTTATAAATAATTAAGTATAAAATAATTGATTGTTTTAAAAACTTCAGAATTTTCATTATGTATTTTAAGTTGATTTGTATAATTGAAATAAATTTAATTTTATTCTATAAATATTATAAAAATACCTAACCTAACCGAAAATTAATTATATATATATATATGTTACGGGCAAAGTAGGAAATCCGGGCATTGTTATACAATGCCCGGGCACTGTGCACAATGCCCGAACATTTTGGCCAATGTAAGAATGATCATTTTTATACTCAAATTTGTCATACATTGACCGGGCATTGTACTAGATTGCAAAGTGTACCCTGCCCAGATTCAAGTGGGCAAAGTGAATTATACAGTGCGTTGCATACTTTTATATCAAATTGCATTTATACGTAATAATATCACTACAAAACTATAATTATATATTTTATTCGTACACAACAACGCGACAGCTGCGATAGTACGAACCGAACCGTAATCTAAACGATAAAGTGATCACACAGTATTGTAGATAATATTTCATAATCGAATCGTTAAATTCCTATTCGATATTTTCTAATGATTATTGTCACGACGGCGACGTTACGTAGTCTGACATTGTAGTGTAGGTAATGCAGTTGCGTGTAGTGTTATTTTTTCTTTTGGTCAACGTTTTTAACTATTTTCTAAGTATTTGTGTACTATTTTCTAACATAAAATGAAAAAAAAGTTTAATGAGAAGTTTAACAATTTACTATTAAACAAAAATGCAAATGCTGTATTTTTAAATAAAGTAAAATACGATGAATTAATTTTAAAAGTGAATAATGTGAAAACTAAAACCACAAAAAAGACTGCAGATGATTACAAATTAATTAAAAAATACGATGTTGTAAACATATCAGGGATTGAAAAGTTAATAGTTCCAGTATCCGAAGGTAATTTAATTAAGTATTATGTTTACAACGAACAATTGTTTCAACTTCTTAATGAAACACATACATCTGTGGGACATGGAGGTAGAAACCGTATGGAGTATGAATTGAACTTGAAATATAAAAATATAACAAGGGAGACTATAATGATATTTTTAAATTTATGTGACCACTGTCAAAAAAAAGGCAGTACAATTAAAAAAGGTTTAGTTGTAAAACGTATACTTTCATCAGAATTGAACTCTCGCTGTCAAGTGGATTTAATAGACATGTAAGCTCAGCCTAATGGCGATTACAAGTTCATAATGGTCTATCAAGATCACCTTACGAAGTTCGTAATTCTTAGACCGTTAACTCATAAACGGGCTGAAGAAGTAGCTTACGTGTTAATTGATATTTTTACAACATTTGGAGCCCCGGCAATTTTGCAAAGTGATAATGGAAGGGAATTCGCCAATAAAGTTATTATTGAGTTGTGTAGTATGTGGGAAGAACTTAAGATTGTCCACGGAAAGCCTAGACACTCACAAAGTCAAGGGTCTGTTGAAAGGGCCAACCAAGATATTCAAAATATTCTCGCAACATGTTTAGCCGATAATAATTCAAGAAAGTGGAGCGAAGGTCTTAAATTTGTTCAATTTATCAAGAATCGGAGTTTTCACCATGGTACAAAACTTTCGCCATATGAAGCTATGTTCGGAACACATGCTAAAGTTGGCCTATAATCAACGCAAATTCCAACCGATTTAATTTCTACTTTAAAATCAGAGGAAGATTTAGAAAAAGCTCTAGGCTGTGGAATTAATATCGAAAACATAAACGAGAAACACGAAAAAAGTGATGGAAGTGATAAGGACAGTGCAAAACAACTTTTTTCTGATGAAGATGAAAACGATCAAATAAAATTGAGAATAGAATCAATTTCTTCAAATGGATCGAATGCTGCTGAAAATTTTAAAGTACAAGCTAACAAAATGAAGAATTTATCTGAAGACCGTTTTTTCCAGGAAAAGAAGGAGAAAATGTTAAAATAAAAATTCCTGATGTGGATCGAGCAAGATGTGATCTTAGGTGTATTCTGGGAGTTATACTTTCTGTTAATTAGTTTTAAAATAATTTTAATTATAAAATAACTTTTAAATTAATCATTTTTTTTATAGTAAAAGATAATTTATATGAAATTGGAACAAACGAGGGCAGACTACATCAACTCTACAGTCGGAACCAATTCACAATATGTAAAGAGGTGTTTATCCAGGCTGATGATGTACCACCAGTACAAATTTCATTAAGAGAAGTGGCAAAAAAATCTTCTAATTTGGGTGGCCTAGGGTACGATAGGTGTACTTGCAATACATTGTGTAAGACCAACCGGTGTAAATGTAAAAAATCTGGTCGTCTTTGCAACTCAAAGTGTCATAATAGTGGTGTATGTGGTAATAAATAAAGCAAATAAATAATAATTGTAATTTAATAATAAATTAATTAAATATTAAAGCTGTGCAACTTTATTTATTTTTAATAATATTTTTAATATCTTTATTTTTAATTTTTTATATAATATTCAATATTTAATCTACTGTGCCCAAATCTAATTGGGCACTGTATACAATGCCCGGGCAACGTTAACTTATTCCAACTTTGCCCATGAAAATCGGGCATTGTGCATAGTGCTCGGTCATTGTGCACAATGCCCGACTTTCTACTTTGCCCGTAACATATACATAATATTAAAACGAATAATACTTTTGAATAGGTAGTTGTATGTTGGTCAAATGTATGTACAAAAATATACGATTTTATAATAATAAGTTCAATTTTTTATTTTAAATAATTTCAACTTACTTAATGTGTTATGAGACATTTGATTAGTTCCAAAAAACTGATAATGTCCATTAGATGCATCTACCAAATAATGTTTGCAACAATTAAAATCTTTGTAAGTAATGGCATAGCCCCAAATTCGTTCCGATAATCGGACTAAAAAACTACCCACTGGTTCGTTGTTAAGCAAAATTTCTGCTTCTTGTCTGGTAATAAGACCTGATAATTGCATAAAAATGTTATATTATTAGTATTACTTCAAAATATATGCATCAACTTCAAAATATATGTATCAACTTCAATTGTACAATGTTGCTTAAATATTTTATTAGATACCATGAAACCAAGTAGCTATGGCATTTTTATCTTGTTCGAATCCAGCTCTTCTAGGTATTTCTTTAGCCTTGAACCATTCAATTACTGCCTTTTTACTTGGTGGTTTAGACGAATTCGGCATATAAACACCACTAAAATATTTAAATTGAAGTATATATTTTCTATGGTTTTAACATTATTTAAGTATGTTTAATACTTACTTAAAGGGTTTATCAGTAAATAGCTGTGACCTTCTATGTTCTTCTCTAGCTTGACGTGCAATTTGTCTAATTTGCAACTCAGCTTCTTTAGCTTTTAGTTCTGAAATTTAATTTTAAATAAATATAGATATTTTTTGATAAAAAAATGTTTTATTTAGACAATTTTTTTATTGAATAAATATTATTTTCATATTTAATTTAATTATTTTTTATTATAACTCATTAATTTAAAATATCTGATATAATAGTTTTGTATATATAAATTTGTTAGATATTTTATTTAGTTATTTTATAGTACTTATAAAATTATACTACAAATTGATTGAAAATAACATTGTTAAAGTCTGAATAGAATAAAATTTTTTAAGTCTTTTTATTTAATTATATATGTAGGTACTATTTATTAATATAATTATTTAAAAGAAAAATGCTATAAAAAATATATCTAAATTTGTCTTTGTCAATACAATTGATATAGTTCTATATTGATATGTTCTATGTTAATATAGTCCATGGATTATATATATTTACATACATATTTCGATATTATATTTAAAATAGCTATAAACTTATACCACAGGATTGTACGCATGACAAGTAGACGTTTATGAAATTGAATGTCCAATAAATTTTTCTTGAACGAATTATATATTATATGTCAAATAATTAGAACAAAATGTTTTGATTCGTTCGATTTTTAAGTTATTAGTGAATATGAAGATATTGTGCACTCCTAGAGTACCTAATATATTACTTTGTGAAATGAAGACCAACTTTGATATCTATCATATCTTCTTTATCTATCCTTCCTAGTTTTTTTTCCTATCATCGTACAATATTTTTTTCAAAACTGTTATCTCAAAGTTATTTCTCCCTGGAAGTTAATCTCCTACTCAATTTTCGTTCTTTATCTATTAGGTATCTCCTTCATAATCATTACTTGTTGATATTTATTGATTTTTGATCATGGATATTTCAATATATTTTTTTTATTGACTTCATAGCCTAATATAACATATATAATTTTTAATCCCTCCCCTTAAACAATTGCTGCGGACGGGCCTGAATTCGAAGAAAATACATGTATGTCTGCTTTAATAAAGTGTCAGACAGCGTTAAACGCTCCACAGTTCGAACATTTTTAGCCAGAATCTCTATAATTCGAATTTAATAATAGTGTATACGCTATAATATCGCAAGACAAAAGCAAATTAAATAATTAAATAAAAATGTATTATGGTATTTATTAGGTTAGTTTAATTTTTTATTAATAACATCCATATGTCCGGAATGTATATTATGTACTTATTAACCTAACCTATTACGTCAACTGTGTATAAATATTTGTAGTTAAATATGTATAATATTGTTTCAAATAAAGAACTTCGGTTTAATTGTTTCAATCAATTTTTACAAACTCGTGTTACATTTTAATATGAAGTATATTGAATTTTGATACCTTGTTCTCTCCAAACAATGTCTTGCTTCTTATCGGCTTCTTCGGCTTGTTTTTCTTCTTCTTTTTTTTTATTTTTCATACTTATATAGATTTCTGACGTACGCTCTTCCATTACTTTCTGTTCCCAGTTTCTCACACGTTCGGACACTTTATTGAATGACAATTCTTTCAACACCCCACGCATTGGTTGTGTTGTTACACACGGCTTTCTGGTACTTCTAGTTTTCAAATCCTCTACAGAACAGTAAATCTCTTCATTACCTGGCAAAATTTTTTTTTCCTGTGGATTAAATGGCGTCTTATTTTTACTTTCTAACATTGCCATTAATTCAGATTCCACTTTTAATCTTAAATGTTCAGTCTCCTGTTCTGCTTGTAATCTTGCAGATTCTCTAGCCTCTTCTTCAATTATTTGTTCAATAGTCTTATCATCTTTATGCTCACCCATGACCCATGTCCAAGGGTTACCATTTGCATCCATCATCCATTGTACTTTTTTTTTATTTTTTG